TACAAAAACTGTTACTCGGGTGTAAAACTTTTGTAATTTTTTTAGATCATTCGTACACCACCAATATGGACCCTTTAGGTACAAACATGCACTCTTAAAAAGATACGTACTGAAAGGTACTGTTGTACCTTCATTTCTGAGAGTGTATTTGGTAAAATCTCGTCTCAGTACAGGCTGGGATGCTGTGCATCATGAGAGCATATATCATCCACAAAGCTGACAAAGGGAATACACTTCTGAAAGATAAATAATGAATAGGACACCTTATGGTCTCATATACTTAACCGACTTGAAGTGTGCCGTTTGGGACAAGGCTAATGCCCTATCATGGCATATAAACAACATGGCTCTTCTAATATTGGCAGATATAGATATTTGGACAGACTCGTTCTCCAATCTCCATTGCCCATGGAAAAACTGAATACCAGTCCTGGATATCAGCTGAAATTGGCACTACTTTCACATACTTCATATCACACCACACAACACAAACCCACTCTCTCTTGTCTCAAAGAAAACAATAATGGTGCCATCTTGCGTCAATTCAAATGTTGAGGAAAATAACTTAGAAGACTTGTCATGTCATGTACACTATAAATATTACTAATATCAATCAAAAAGATAGTTTTTTTAGGTTCTGCAGTGTTTTGTTTGTTTGTTTATTCAATTCACCTGTACCATGTCTTTGGACTGTGGGGGAAACCAGAGCACCCGGAAGAAACCCACCCCAACACGGGGAGAACATGCAAACTCCACACAGAAAAGGCAACTGACCCAGCCGGGACTCGAACCAGCGACCTTCTTGCTGTGAGGTGACAGTGCTAAACACTGAGCCACTGTGCCTCCCTAGTAATAATATATTTATTAATAATAAATTAAATGTACTAAAATGTAAATCATTTCATTAAGCAACAACACAAGTGAGCATGCAGGATCTTGCTAAAAAGGGACACTTTTTAAAACCAATGTTCAAACCAAATCTGCACTTTTCCTAGGATGGAAGACTGGTGCATACATAAATTTTGGACACATCACTCTGATATAAACCAATATGATGATCAGTTTCAAATGGTTATAAAAATACACAAACCTGTTGCTAAGGTGTCATGTGTACATTATTCAATCCTGTTTTTGAGCTTCAACTTTCCAAATGATTAAAAAAAACAAAAAAACTGTCAGAGTGAGGAAAGCTGGCTTAACAAACGAAATAGAGTGGGTTTACTCAACCTTTTCATTTATATAATGTGTTGTGTATGTGAATGCCAGAAACTGGCATTAACAGAGGCATGTCCTTCATCTGCTGCCATGCAGTCTCCAGTATCCTGGCAGGATCATGACAGAGAAGGGTGATCTGCCATTAGCCCCTGCCAATAGCCAGACAAACACTTAATATAATTCAAGTTCACTCAAGTTCAATATCTGCCAAGAAAAAAACAAGAGTTGACTGTTGTATTGGAAGAACATTAAAGTTGAAGCTAAACTAGGCTATTTCCAACTTTTCCGGTCATAATAATGACTCATTACTTGACCTTGTCAGATTAAGCTGCTAAGAGATACCATTTTCACTTAATTACTTCTTCATGCAAATCATTTTGAATAAAAGTGTCTGCTTAATGAGTAAGTGAAATAAATTAAAATAAATAAGTCATATTCTTACTTAAAATACCAAAAATAATGTGTACTACATCTTAAAAAAACATACACACAAGAAAATAGTTCCTGACTGCTATGACCTTAAACCAGCAAGTGCCACAACGCACATATAGGCTATACATATAGGAGTATTTTGTCAAAAAAGTGGCAAATTCGTCTGCAAGAGATGACATGTAAGACTGAATGATATCTTTTAGACACAAATACTTGCTGTATAATCCATATTTGGGGATTAGAAACACAACAGAAAGCAAAAACACATGGCAGGGAATTGAAATAGGCCGCACCTCCCAAGTGCACTTCAGAGGCTTAACAAAAAAGTTCAATCCATCCAACACATCAACAGCATCACACAAAAAACTCTATTGAAGACAGAAATAGCTTTTAGAGTTTGCTGAAGAAAAAACACACTATATACCTTGTTTTCTTCTATTCTATATATATATATATATATATATATATATATATATATATATATATATATGTATATATATATATATATATATATATATATATATGTATATATATATATATATATATATATATATATATATATATATATATATATAGTTTATGTTGAGTTATTTCTCTTTAAAGTTCATAAAAAGGTCTTATTATTTGCCATAACAGTAATATTACTGAACCAACACACAGGAGCTTGATAAAAATGCTGATTTTAGAAGAAAGATTTAGATGGCATTTAGAGGTTTTTGCATCTGAACCCTTCATATATAATTTCATATTTACATAATTCTTTTTTTACTTACCCCGGAAGAATGACAGTAAAAATGTGCCAATTCATGGCATGTTAAATTTTATCCAAAGAAAAACTATTTTATTAACTTTTTTATTAATTTTAAAACTAATGATTACAAAAAATCCACCACAATTAGAACTTAAAACTGTTTAGGCCTTTTTGTTGTGTACTGTAGTTAGAGAAGCATAAAAAAGTACTGAATAACAGACAAAAGATTAAAATGACAAATTTGTATAATTTTAAATAAAACCAAAGAACTGAGACTAAACAATTACGCGTCAGCCAGACATGTGCTAAAATGTTCCATAATATCTTTAAAAGATATTTTGTTGACATGGCAAATAGGCTAGTTAATGTTCGTTTCGTTTCGTGTGGAAGACATTTTGTTACAACTTTGTTAGCGCGTCCAAAAAAAAGTGCAGCAAGTTGTATACTCCATTAAATTCTGAATTAGTTTGACTGTGATTAACATTTTATCTTCAGACTATGTCAGCATAAGTAAAGTTAAAATCTTTTAAAAACTATAAAGACAAACATTTTTTTATACTTTATATAGTTTGTGACGATTATTTAATTTATTTTTACAAAAAAATTGGAACAGTTTTTCTATGCTATATTATAATTTAATGTTGGCGCCACAAAGACGGTTGAGAAAATGCCGCCAAAATCAGCGATGGTATCCTAAAGTGCTGGAATATCTCGACTCGCAGCGTAAAACATTTCGTCCCCCAAAATACCCCCAAGTGCGTTTCTACGGATTTGGGGAAACATCTGACGCGGTTACAGTAAGTGACACTTTCATTTTGAAATGCCTCTCTTTACACTTTGAGTTGTGACGCCTGACACCGCAAACGGTCTGAGGCACGATAAGCTTATTTACTACCTGTTTGCTCTGACAGCTTTTGGAGCTCAGTGTGCCTTGCTCTCTGTGACTGTGATCGGCTGCTCTGGTGGGATTTAGGTAAGGCATTCATCATGACACACACACTCAGTGACTCACGCGTCTCTCGTTCTGCTCTTTACACACTCTCTCATTCACTTTCTCTCCATGCGGCAGCAGCCCAGGTGGCAGTAAAACGTGGCTTTTTATAGCAGCGAGCTTATTTTTAGACCTACGTTTTAAGGCGAATTGCTGCTGAAAATACACGTTTGTTCCTAAAATGATGATGATGAAACCGGACAAATACTGAGGTGGTGGATAATGCACTCCCACAATTAAAGTAACGTTATGTAAGTTTTTGACTCTTCAAAGCCAAAACCGTAAAATGTTTGCAGATGAAGAAATGTTTACCTAAAAAACAGTTCTGAGGTCAGATATTCAGTTTTAAAAATGTCTGTTGTGTTTGTCAGAACAATGCCATAATTGATAACAATCAATTATAATACCCTATAGTAAAGCTAAAATATAGCTTTACTGTTAAGAACAAAGATGCCCAATCTAGGACCCTCAGGCCAAAGCTGGCCCATGGTAACCTTTGACATGGCCCACCAAACAATCAGGGATCATCTTAAACAGAGATCATAATTTCTAATTTTACATAAATTTTTGTTTGTTTAAGCTACAAAATCCTAAAATTAAATGTTTGAATTAAATGTGAATTAATCAGATATTTTATAGGGTTTAAACCCTAAAAAAAATTCTTTAGATGTAGACAGATATGTGTGGCACATTGTTAAAAACACTTTTAGAAGGTCATGATTCGCACTCATTAAATAATTGCTTTATATAGTTTTTATTTTACATTTCTTCAAGATTGACGCACCAATTTTTTTTTAAACCATGAGAGTGCAGGGCAACTTCATTAAAAAAAGTTTTGGGACTTATATTCCACTTTTAAGTGAATTTTTTTGTGTAAATTTTGAGTGAAAATTTATAATGGAATGGTATATTAACAGTTCGGTATATTTTGGCATATTTAGCTTCGGTCCACCACCCACGTTTGGTTTTTGGCTCTTGATAAGAAAAAGTTTGGGGACCCCTGGTTAAGAATGTTTCTCTGCCATTCTTCTGACCTCTTCTTTTAAAAGGATAAGGATACTCACCCTTGACTCGTCCCAAACCAGGTTGAGTTTTATGTTCTGTTAAATGCAAAAAGAGATATTTTAAGGAATTTGGCAAACCTGTAACCACTCACTTTCATATTTGTTTTTGTATGGAGGTCAATAGTTACAGGTTTCCAACATTCTCTAATATATCTTCTTTTGTGTTCAGGACAGGGAAAAAAACTCAAACTGGTTTATAACAAGTCAAGTGCTGACAAAACTGTAATTTTTGTGTGTACTACCCCTTTAATGGGAACAGGTTGCCATTTTGAAAGTCCAGAATGCAAAAAAGCACTCCGGACATTATGAATTTGACTCTTGTTTTAGCGTTATGATAAGAAACACACACACAAACACTCGATGAAAACTTTAAGGAGGCTTAGACTAACAGTACATTTCAGCATTTTACACTTCCCAGCACATTTTTGCCGTACTACCTGAAAATTGTGTTTATTACAGGTCATATGTTCATCTACATCTCTGGTTTTTCTACCAAGAGCACGTCCTGACAGTGGCAGATCATGCTGAGCATGCTGCAGTTACTTACATAGGTGGACTGTTCTCTCCGCCAGTGTCCCAGACCACAGCAAAACATCAAGAGAACATCCAGGGGTGTCGTGAAGATGCTGCAGCCAAGAAGAGAGTCTAAATCACTCTTTCCGAGCCTCTGGGTCCCGCTCCGTATGGGAGAGCCATCACATCAGTCTGATGAGAGACACAGCAGCAGCAGGTAACCGTCTTCTTTCCTCCCAGCCTCTGGTCTAGCCCATAGGTTTATTATGAAAAGCCAACATTCCTCCACGATTGCTGATCAGTGCAGTGCAGTCCGTCAAAGTGAGTGATTCACATCCTCCTTAATCGCAAGACCAACAGGCTCGCAGTCGGCTGGTTTCAGGTGTGTGTGTGTAATTTGTTTGTTCCGCTCTTCCCCCTGGTTGAGTTCCTCGCCTTATTTATTTACACCCTCCCCCGACAACCCCCCACCCCTCCCACCGCACCCCTTTTTTTTTTTTTCTTTCTTTCGAACACAGACACAGGCTTAGAGTTTAAAATTGATACACGGTGTAAATGTCATTTTGCTGCCTGACTTTCTCTGCGTCAGCTTGTCTCCGCCTCCTCTGGCCAATCAGAAACGAGAAGCGAGCTGCGTCTGGGTTGCCTTGTCTCCAGTCCGCACAGGCAGAGGAGGCTGAAGTCCACCGTCTGCCTTCTCTCCTCTTTGCTTTCTGCTGCTTCTCCACCTTCACGACTCCTCCCTGCCTCCCTTCCCTGTGGATTCAGGCTCTTTCCGTCTCTTTCCCATCCCTGCCCTGTGTGTTGTCAGGGACGCTCCTGTGTTACCCTCGTGTGTCCTTTCTGTGGCTGTGCTTTGCCGTTTCGTCTCACTCCCTGTTGCAGCACAGCACTACACGCAGGAGAAGCGTAGGCTGAATTAATTTTCTGTATCATGGGCTTTATCAGTCAGTCCGCTCCTCGTCTTTATCTGTACGCTGCATCTGAGTGTCTGTCCTTGCTGTCTCCTCTCCCCTCTGTTGTCCCCTGCCGAGGAGCTCATGCAGTTTCTTTTGCAGCATCTGTTCACACGCTGACTGTCAAGTTTAAACGGGATAAATTAAAAATAAGCTCTGTTCAGAAATCTGTGGGAGGCACATGGTTCAGTCGCACTCAGAAATGGCTTTTAAACATCTCCTGTCCAGAGAATCAATTACACTCCATTGGTTAATATGGAGGATAACACAGAGCTGAGAACATAAGCTTGAAATAGGAGTTGGACATGGAAAGATAATTCATATTCTGATGTTTCTTCTTGAATACTTATGCTGACTGGAATAGATTCAGGAAGAAAATGAGATGTGAGCAATTCCAGAGTTACGGATGTGACATTTGCAGTGAAAACTTCAAGATGTTAACAGTATATTGAAACGTCTGATAATATTTTCCAAAAACAATTAACCAGAGTTAAGAGATCAGAAAAATTTCAATCTGTAAACGTGTTTCATATTTCAATCAAGGAAAATAAACATGCACAAAAAGGTGATCCGACCAAAAAAGTGTACAGTATACAGAATACTTTGTAGAAGTTCTGTGAATTAAACTGCACAACCCAAAAGAAAGAATGCTGATATAAATAATAAAACGTGTCTATCTACAGAATAGATCAATATGATTTGTTTTATTTAATATTTTTGATTTTGTGAGGAAAAAGCTTTGTTATAGCTGTACCTGATGCGAAATTGGCACTTGTGAAGCTTTGGTAACTCAAATAATATAGTTTGAAAATGGTCATAGAGACATCTTTGGGTATTTTTACAATACTGTAAAACAAGAGTCAGTGATTCAATCAACCCAGAAAGAGTTTAGCAATTTTGGTGAAAACTATTTGAATTTTTCCATGATATTTGCATGGAATTGCTTAGATTACATATCCTGGTCAAATACTAGAATGGAGTACCTTTAAGGGGACAATTCAAACAATTTTACTGCAAACTGCTGTAAAAACTTTGTGTTTGAAAGTAAAAAAGGTATTAAATATATTATCACTGTCTGTGAAACTACATGATTATTTTGGAAGTTAAAGTATTTACCATATAATTTTGTGTAAAAGTCTACAAAGACTGTATGTATAGTAAAACATCAATTAAAAAACCTTATGTTCACTCATAATTAAAGTTAATTAAAATAATACAAAAATACAAAAATTTTTAATGTTATATTTTAATCAATAAAAATAGGGACTTGGGTAGACAGAGTTTATTTAATTCCATGTTAACTCCACAAGAAGGAAATTAATAATAAAACCTTATTTAGGGCTGAAATATATATATTTTTTTACAAATCACACAACGCAGCTGGGAGTTATGGTTGGACTATTTGTAAGATTGATTGTTCTGTGCCAAAAACAGATTCTGAGGATTTGGAAACATCATCTTGAATACTTCTTTCTTGGAATTTCTTTAAGGAATCAACAAAGTGATCATTTGATACAAAAATAAGTGATAAAAGTGCTTGATGTGATAATAGAAAGTGTTATTGTTTTATTATAAATAATTTATTAAATATAATTGCCATATAACATTCTGTAAATTGTATTACAGACAAATCATATACCTTTGGAAAAACAAATTGCAACTTATCATTCAATATTTTGTGAATGTTTATGGAATACTATGGGTTCACTGCCCGGTAAAATATATAACACTTATTTCATAATTAAAATAGTTTTAAAATAATAATCATATAATTATAAGAACAGAATAATATATATTAGAATGTGGTCATTTGAACATATCATGTATCTTACAGTAAATTATTAATAATAAAACATTAACAAAACAGTTTTTATTAAAATGGTCAAAAAAAAAAAAAGACCATATAGTAAGAATGTGTTGTTCAAATTAATTAAACATAGTGACATAAACATACAGTATATTAAAAACGCAAGAGAAATAGTAAAAAATGTACTGACCTATCAGACAATGCTTCTGGTAAGAGCTCAGTTACACCTCATTCTGTCACGCTGCTTTCAAGGTGGCAAATGCATCACATGGCGTCTGACAACAATAAAACAGTAATCTATTAGAAAGCTATGCATCATGCAATAAAAAGATAGATGGAATTATAGCATGCAGCAATGTAAGGTTTCATTTATGAGATGCAAGGGGATTTCTGAACATTCAAAAGCTTCTCTGCGTCTTACGATATGCATCATAGTAGAATGAAAGCATTACTGGCATGGCTTTTCATGAAAAGCAATCAGTTTTTACTAATCAGAACATGTCCTGGCATAAAATGAATCCACATTACCTTGTAGTAAGTCAATATCAGCCACAGCAGCCCTCACATGCTGAAAACAAATCCCATGATAAATGTGTACAGTATATGACATGTGCTTAATAACATGCTCTGTTTGAAAATTTGACATTTGGCATGGATTAAAACTTTAATAAAAAACAGAAATCCTTAAAACATATACTCAAAAATGAACATAGACAATATTTAACACTATATTTACCTTATGAAGCCTGCATTTATAATGCAGTATCAGTTGTGGTTAATTTTAATGCACGCATAATGCCTTATAAGCAACGCTACAGTGTGTTGTATCATCGTATGAAGAATTGTAGCAACATTCTGAACATACTTTACCCACATTTGCTAAATATACTACTTTCTTATGATCTGGTTTTGACACTGTTTTTCTTGAACATTATCATAACTTAATTAACATAGCGTAAAAGCAGAGTTGTCTTTTAAACAAATAAATCTTTATGATGTGTTTATTAGTACTTTTTAAAGCCTTATTCTGCATGTCTATATTCTGCAAACATTGCGGTAAACTCTTCTACAATAACTACAGTACATAACTATGAATAAGTAGTACTGAGTTTACAGAGACAGAAGTATTAAAAATGATATTCATAATTTGACTGCTTTAAGTGTATTAAAAGTAATAACATGTCAACTTACAAAGTTTTACCAAATTTACTACCCATATAGGTAAAAAAACAGATTTTAAGGGTAAAACATTTATTTAGAAACAAAAAGCAACTATAAATCAAAATGTATATATCATTTTAATAAACACTTAAATTGTATTTTAAAGTTTTATAAATAGTTTGTGCTTTTAATTGTTATTTTTAGTTTTATCTGTAACCTATTGCTTACTTTTGTTTTTATCCTGCTAAATATATTGTCTTAACATTCAAAAGACAACCATTTATGCATGCATTAATGCATTACGTGTGCATTATAATGCATTACAATAATTGTTTAACCATTTTCATGATTATTTATTACATGATACAACATATTACAAGGTTGTTTATAAAGAATTATGTATGCATACAACATAACAATAATACCTTTATAATGCATCATTTAGTGTTACCATATTGTTCAATAAATATTAACAGAACATAATAAATTCATACATCAGTGTACACTACCTGACAAAAGTCTTGTCGTTGATTCCAGTTGTAAGAGCAACAAATAATAACTTGAATTCAAGTTGATTATTTGGAAAAGTGGCAGAAGGATTTTCTGATGAATAATCTGTTGAACTGCATCCCAATCATCACAAATACTGCAGAAGACCCATTGGAACCCACAAGGACCCAAGATTCTCACAGAAATTAATCAAGTTTGGCAGGGAAAATGGTTTGGTGTTCAGTACATTCGGTATGAGGGTGTGCGTGAGATCTGCAGTGGATGGCAACATTAACAGCCTGAGGTATCAAGACATTTGTGCTGCCCATTACATTACAAACCACAGGAAAGGGCAAATTCTTCAGCAGGATAGCACTCCTTTTCATACGTCAGCCTCCACATCAAAGTTCCTGAAAGCAAAGAAGGTCAAGATGCTGTAGAATTGGCCAGCCCAGTCACTAGACATAAAAATTATTGAGCATGTCTGGTGTAAGATGAAGGAGGAGGCTTTGCAGATGAACACAAAGAATCTTGATGAACTCTGGGAGTCATTCCAGATGACTTGATTAAGTTATTTAAATCATTGCAAAGATGTATGGATGCAGTCCTCCAAGCTCATGGGAATCATACACAATATTAATTCTGTTTCCACTGCACCATGACTTTATATTCTATACTGTACATTATTTCTGTTACTTGACAAAATCACAGCATAATCTTGAGGTCTTTGCCTCAAGCCAGTTCTGATACCAAATGAACAACTAGAAGTCAAGTTATTATTTGTTGTTCCTAAAACTTGGAAAGGCGACAAGACTTTTGTCAGGGGTGTAGTGTAGCAGGTCATTTTTAAAAATAAAATCTTGAAATATACACCTTCATTTAAAACCTATTTACATTTACAAATAAAAATGTGAATCTGCAAATGTGCTATTTTCCCCCAATCCCTCAAAACATGCTTCCTCTGTTCAGCAGCTTCAGTTTAGTCATAAAGACAAAGTACACAAAAGATATGCTGGCAAGAATGTTCTTTAGTATGTACAGCACTGGAGTAACGTATCCAAAAACCGCCAGCAGGCATATGCGCACCACCAGGAAGGGCAAATCTTGAGAAAGGATGCTTGATAAAGCCAGCAATGGACTGTCTGGAGTTATTACAACACGCAAAAGGGACAAATAAGCCAGTATGTATATTGGAAACACCCATCCTGAGTAAAACACCGAATTGGTGCCAGCCACCCTCACCATTTCCACAGTGTCCAACCAGAACATGAAGCTGGAGACAAAGAGGTCATGCCGAGGGTCTCGTTTCCAGAGAAAGCTAAAGGGGCCTGAGTGAGAATGAGAGTAGAGGTATGCCGAGCTGCTGGTGCGGGGCAGCCCATATGTTCTTGCATCTTCCCAGCGGCCCGACAGTGACCCGTTTGAGACCGGCGATCTGAAGGATGCATCACCGTCTTGTCCGTTTGCCTGCAGATGTCCAGAAATTGATGTGACCTGCTCCAAATGAGTCAGAACTGGACCTGGCATCTCCAAATCCAAATCTAATCCACTCGCTTTTTGAGAAGGAGGATAAAAATAGAGCACAACTTAAGACTGAGGTCATTCAATTGGGAAAAGTCAATGATCTCTTATCTCATACCTTTTCCTGTTAAGCGGAGAGGGCGAATTCTCTCCACTATGTCCACACAGATGAGGGAGAACAGGACCAGTGAGACAGGGAGCTCTGTTAAGCGGTCAAACCGAATAGCAGCATCAGCCTGGACCTGCAGAACCGTAAATATAGTAAATACAGAGGCCTAAACGGAGTCTCATGAGCAAACAGATGTGGAAGAATGAGAAAAAACAAACGGTCTCATTCATTAATAATTGTCCAGACTAATTTGTGTTTGTATAACCTAGATTTTGCCAAACACTATTATCATTGCTTGCCATTGGCCAGTGACAAAAAAATAAATAAAAAATGACCAGCCTTAATTATTTTATTTTGGCCCTGGTACTGTATGCGCATTATTTAAATAACACACACACACACACACACACACACACACACACACACACACACACACACACACACACACACACACACACACACACACACACACACACACACACACACACACACACACAAACACACAAACACACACACACACACACACACACACACACGTATCTATCTATTATTTTACCAAATTTTAATTTATGAAAACTACATAAATGAAACAATTTAAAGAAATGTCACTACAAAACTATTGAACTAAAGTATGACCATTTCAATTTCTAGAATATTATTATATTTTATATTTTTATATTTTAATTATTTATATTAAAATATAAACTTCAGATAAACAGAGTAAAATACCTAAACCGATTTACATGGTTGTTTTTTAATTTGGTTTCAAACATTAAACCACAGAGTTCCCATTTAATTCAACCAACTCACACTAAAAAGAGCTGCATTGATAGTGTTCATCCATAGTATTGAGACCCAGGTTTTTTTTTTCCAAATATCATATCACTAATAAAAAAAAACTTGAGAAAGCTTTTACAAACTTGTTGATGACAGACAGTTGATGAAGCATATACAGGCCTCGTGATTCTAACCAGAGACTAACATTGGCTGTAATACTCCACTCACATTCCAGTCTATAATACCCCATCTTTGGGTTAATAGTAAATCTGCTGGTCTGCGAGTAAGTTACTGAATACCTTGGAGTGGATCTGTTTATGAAAACTGTTGATGAGCCCTACGGTTTTATTGTGGACCAAAACTGTCATATAATGAAACTTATTGGCTTCTCTTTGCTTTAAGAAAGCAGTTACTTTACAGATTGCAGTAGCTGTCATTTGTTTTTGTATCACTTCAAATGCACACATTACAAAAAAACAGACAAAATTTAAAAGATTTACAGTTTGATGTCATTAAAAACCTTTTCCAAATTAGTTTCAAATCACTCTCTATTGCTTTAAAGATCCACTGAAGAAGCTTACGCAAACTGATGAAATGGCTTTTAGTGGTCAACAAGTGCACATTCATATGATAGTCTTCTAATGAGACTAAATAATGCATTACCTTTGAGCTGGCTATGATGATAGCGAAGCACGGTAAAGTGCTGAGAATCACATATGCCAGTGTAACAGGTCTCCTACACAAAACATAAGAGTATTTTCATTCTGGAATATCAACAAAGAGTTTAACACGTGCATTTAAAATTCAGATAAAATATAATGGCGTGCCCTGCTTATGATGTAACTTTGTTTTCCCAGTACAGGTGAAAAGTTTGGGATCAGACTTTTTAACAAGTTTTTGATAACCACTGCTCACTTACTGCATTTATTTGTTTAAAAATACAGTTAAAACGTTAATACTGTGAAATATATTCTTTATTTTTTTTAAATGAATCTATATTAACAGTATTAATTACAGATTCAAAGCTGAATTTGAACATAATTATTTCAGTGTTCATGATCCTACAAAAAATATATAATTCTATTCTGTTTTGTTTATAACAAATATTGAAATCAGCTTTATTTTTGTTAAAACAGTGATATATATTCATTTGAAAGCATCATAAAAAGAAGTAACTTTTTTAAAAGATCAAACGTTACAGTAAAGACAATGCTATGAAAGATATTATTTCAAATTTTTTTCATTTTGTGCTCTTTGACTAACTAAACGGCTGTGGTGAGCAGGAGAGACTTCTTAAAAATCTTTTGAGGAAAACAAATCTTACAGATCCCAAACTTTTGACTGGTAGCTGTTGACATGGACATTTTATGCTATAATTAAAACTATTTTAGTACTTCCCAACCCATTTTACACAGATATAATTTAAATTAAGTTGCAAAGCCATTTACAATAAACCAACACATGCAAAAAGCTAAAAACTAAAACTACTCGGATCATCTACAAATATTACAACATTATCAGTGTGGAAATTAAAGGAGCAGTGGTTAGTTGTACTCACCAGTTGGTCACTTCAGAGAAGCGTTGAGTTTTTAACATGAAGTACTTCAATGGAACCCACACAAACAGAGTTACAGATGCCGCATAGGCCACAGACGCCGCCACCACCAGCCAATAGGCAGTATCACTAGACTTCACAAACCGAATGACAGAAGCAAATCGCTCCATAACTACAAACACAGGAATACAGAGACATGCGAACTGCAAAAGCTCAAATACAATGAGTTTGACAGTCTTCCCAGAAAGCATCTTGACAGTGTGAATCTTCAGTAAATCCTCCTACTAGTGAAAATTCCCTGAATTCATCCAATGCATCTCCCAAGAAAACTGAATAACTGAGCACTCTGGACTCTGAACACCGGCTCTGCTTACACTGCATTCTCACTGGTGCTCTTTTATTGCCACAGTAATGAAGAAGTCACAATTTTCTTTTTATGGAGTTATGAGAGGAAAAAGTCCCTACTTCAAAAACATGTAAAGTATTAGCACAAAACAAGTAAAAAAAAAAAAACTACTGTAGACATTGGGCTCTATTTTACCAATCTAGGCGAAAAGTCTAAAGCGCATGGTGCAAAACATTAAGGTTGTGTCTGAATCCACTTTTGCCATTTTAAGGATGGAAAAATATGCTTTGCGCCCTGGCACATGGTCTAACAGGGTTGAGCTTATTCTCTTAATGACTTATGGGTGTGTTTTAAGCATAACATGCATTAAACCAATCAGAGTCTCATCTCCCATTGCCTTTAAGAGTCAGTTGCGTCACGCCATGGCGCATTTGCTGTTTCCATGGCGGACTTTGTAAGTGGAAAAACTAAATGCTTCATTAGCAAGGAAACAGAGGATAAAGATTGAGCCTCTTCACTTTTTACTTTACGTTTACTCTTAACTTTACTCCTTTAGTTTAGTGGATAAGGAAATGGTGTTGTATGCACTGCGCTGAAGACATCCATTAGCCTACCTATTGAATTATTTTTGTTAAGCGCAAAGATTTGTTACAGAACTATTTCTAAATTCAGTTCTAATTTCCAGCAAACTAATAAATGAACAATAATAACGAAGTGTGGTCAAAAACTTATATCCAAACTAGGGATGCCATGGTTCTCAATATAATATTAACCCGTTCTTAGATTTCATCTAAACTATCTTAATTTGTATTTGGAAGACAAGCGAAGGTCTTGGCATATATGGATGAACTAACCCTTTCAGTCCCACTCAGAGAAGATTCAGTTAAAGGAGAGGGGTTACAAGGAAACACAATTATTTTATTGTGGTTTCTGGTTCAAGAAAATTCAAAGTATTTTTTTTTTCGGGGGCAGTTTTATTTGAGTTTTCATTTCTTTTTTTTTTTTACTTTGACCTAGACCATCTAAGTGATCTTCATGCCCACAGAAATAAAAACATGAAATCAGTTTAAGTAGTCAAACTATTCTAGAATAGCAAACAAATTTGACAAAAAGCTCACCAAACTGGGCTTCAGGCTGTCTCTCTGTAATGCTTCAATGTAATAAGACAAAACTTTTTTTATGGCAACTATAAAAATAGGTTACTCATGGTTTTTGTGCAGTGGCACCTAGTTGTAGATAAAAATGTCTCTTTTTGCTAATTAGTTTTATATAATTTTTCCTAATAATAAAAAATACCAGTCTACATTTGGAGAAGCATATTGAGTCAAACAATACCTAGGTCTCGTGTCATTACACCATCGATGGCGCTGAACGTGAAGATGGTACCTTGAGCAAACTCAAAAATGTTGGGATGACACTAACTTTTGGTCAAAAAGGATCTCTGCACTCCTACTAAACATAACAGTCATAGTTATACTGCATTCTTAATGCTTATATTGCACTGATTACAAGTAATATAACGGTTGTAAAATACTACCCCAGCCTATTAAAAACTAAAACTTTTGTTGTACAAGACTGTTAATCCACCAAAAAACAACTAAAACACCTGAAACTACTGAAAAAGACCCCACAACAAAAGAACCATCACAGAAGTTACAACAAACCTATTAACCATTAATACCAGTAAATGTTAATTGTTTTGGCACATGATTCTTGTAGATCCAATAAAAGTCAACAAATTACCAGTAGGAATCCACAGAGATTCGTATCCATTAAAATCAATACAACTGCCAGTAAAAGCCTTAATCCATTACTAATTCTGAGGGTTTGTATTGTTGGTTTCAGCAGCGTGATCAAAGTGCCGCTTAATAATGAGAAACAACATGTGCTGTACATTTGGCCTAGTTTTATTGTGAATACTAATAATTAAGATGATTAAAATAGTACATACAAACAACTGGGTACATATAACTGATACACCAAAAACAGTCCATTTTCCCTGTGGATAAGGTTGACGTAAGGATTATCATCTCCATGTGCATATGCTAAGGTGTCACATTAGAACTGGCCCATGGTCCCAATTTCCCAGAATGTTCTCTATGAAACGTCAATGACTACTCTGATAACACTGTAGCTACATCGAGACAGATGTGGGAGAACCGCCTTACTTTAGAGTCAGAAGAACAAAGTTTGCTCTCTTTAGTGTCAGTCGCAGCCCTTGACAGGACTTATGAAAATAAGAGGTTAGTTTGAGTGTTGCACACTCGGTGGATCATTTACACATGATCATTCATTCATTCCCAGGGCATGACAAGTTGCATGAGTATTTTTATAATTGTTTGGAAAAAAGGGAAGGGTTAGAGTGCAGGGTCAATGCCATTCAGGTTCTTCGAGAGCTGAGGAAACATAGGTTTCAAATGGACACATCTGAAATTAGGGAGAAGGAAAAAGAGTAAATTAAAAGTGCATGTAATGGAGTAGTTTTACTCCTCAACTTCCCGTGTGCCCTTTCTACGGAAAAAGCAGCCGCTTTGAACGTTACGCTCTAAAGAAAGTAGTGAGCTCTTGTATATACAAATCTGCACATAGGCAGAATATTACATCCTTCTATTAATGTACTGTCAATAAAACAGCAAACTGACAATCAAAATATAAATAAAACGCACTAAAAAACATTTTAACACTGAGAATTGAGCTTAAAGTAGTGAGCTTCACCCCCCAAAAAAACAATTTTCCCATCATTTACTCACCCTCAGATCTCTATAAAGCCATGAGATGTTAATCTGTTCATGTTTGGGACACTAATCGAAATATTTTAATCAAATCTGAGAGATTTTTGTCCCTCCATTGAAAGTATATTCAGGAAAACTTCTGACACCTTTAAATATTAATGTAAAGTGATCAAAAAATGAATCCTTATCAGTAAAGCGGTCTAATCAAAGTCTTCTGAAGAGACATGTTCACATATGATGAGCAGATCACATTTGGGCTTTTATTTATAAACTCTGATCAGCAAATAGAACCAGAAGCTCAACTATATTTGCCTGACACACTTAATATTCATCTTATAAAGTGATTTTATCTTTCAGAAAACGTAAAATAAAACAGATAAAAGATAAAACAGTTTGATTTGTATCTGTTAATGAATGTTTGAAGCATCAGCTGTTTTATATGATCAAACTGTCAATGGAAGGGGCAGAAATCTCTCATATTCCATTAGAATTATCTTTACTTGTGTTCCAAAAATGAACAGATTTTTTATGGGTTTGGAATAAATAATGAGCATTTCCATTATGGGGTGAACTAACTCTTGATAGACACTGGAGTAATGGGTCACTGTCAAGACAATGGCAGTGTTTTGCTACATGGTTCTGCAGGAGAGGTGTGATAACATATATGGACCTGATCTCGCTTTCTCTCTCCCTCTTGCTCACACACACACACACACAATTAAAAATGATGAACCCTCCCCTTCAGGACCTGTTTTGACAAACACTGAGCTACCGGGACCTACACCATTACAGAAATGCATGTACAACACAAGCATGCTCTCGTTGTGTTTTCCTGTAAGAAACATCCAGTTAATTATTACTATAATGACAGCGCCAAATAAATGGTGTAACTTCTTATCACCTTCAACAAAATATTGTAAAAGAGACCAAAAACATAGAAGAGCGATCAAAAGTGCTCAGTGAGAACACCAGCGGTTAGTAGTCAGCAATCGGCACATCCTGTCATGTTTGTAATGTCTTAAATAAAAAGAGGAGGAGAGGATCAAGGAGATGTTGCTGTGTGAGCTGAATGTTCTTTGTAAGAGTGTGTGTGTTTGTGTGCGAGTCTCTAGGGGCCCCTATAAGAGGGCCTTCTCAGGGTAAGGGATCTGTTGGTTGTCTGCAGCAGCGGGAAGGCTCTGGGTTGTAGGTAGGGTGTATGCAGGGTTCTGGTTCATGACTGCTGGAGCTGGGGTCTGGTAAGACTGGACTTCAGCTGGAGGAAGGCTGCCAGGAGTGGGGCTGTAGACTGGAGGTTGGCCCATGTACATATGGACATCACTGAGAAACAGCAATAACAAAACTATTGTTTTATATGATTACAAATCACTATTATTATTACCATTACTATTCGTGTAATTATTAGGGATGTCCAGATCCAATCACAAGATCGGAAATAGACCGCTTTCAAACTCAATCAGAATCAGATGTTACCTCCCGATCAGGACTTGAATATATACGTATATTGTCATTATTTTTAACTCATCTACAGTTATGCGGTGGCATAGAGTTGGACTTCTTTCTTGACTTCAAACTGAAACAGCAATGTGGGCGGCATGACATCACTTTGTTGCAGAGAAATGGCAACAAAGTAGAACACAGAAGCAGCTTGAAGCGGAAAGCACGAGTATGTCTGCAGTCTGGAGGTATTATAAAGTCGATGATGACAATATTGCCATAGCAAACTGTGAGATATGTAAACTTGGGATTGCCTGCCCGGTATTTTAAGTTGAGGTGCCGTTTGTTTTTATGTTAGATTTTTTATATTTACTGTTGCACAAAATCCAAAAGTGTAGAATTTATGTTGTTTATTACTTGATTGTTCAAGCTACCTTACAGAAGTGCTTTGTTTGTTAACAGAGTTATAGAATCTTAAAATAAGGTGAATTAAATAAAAAAATAAGGATTTGTTTCTTCGCTCTTTTATATATTTTTATATATAAGATTATATATAGATTTTTATATTTTTATTATATTTTATAGATCAGGTTTTGTATTGGTAGATTCTCAAAATCTAATAACTCAGACTGGAGGGCCAAAAAAACCTGATCGGGACATCCCTAGTAATTATTATTAAAATGTCCTGATCTAGAGAACTTATTGTATTTTAATGTATTTTATCTCTTTAATAATAACGATAATTAGTGAAAAGAAAATTAATCATTATTATTATTATTAGTAGTAGTAGTAGTAGTAGCATTTTTATTTATGCTGTAATTAATATACGTAATTTACTCTTGATATTTCTATTAATAATAATAAACAAATAAACAATATAAACTGCATAATATTGTACATGATGCATGTTATGAAAACAATATTAACCACTTTATTAATGTGTGAAATATAATTCATTGTGCACACCTAGGAGTAGGCTGCCCTGCCATTGGTGTTCCTGCTTGGTTCATTGCAGTAAGCTGCTCCATTGGAACGTTGTATCCTGGTACTGCTGTGCTTCCCATTGCATACTGCCCTCCAGTGGACTGTCCAGGGTACACCTAAAAAATAGACCACACACATACTCTTAATATACCATTGCCAAAAACAAGACAAAATAAAACAATAACAGAAAATTAAACCATTCCAGAAAACTAATAACACCATAGCCCAAATTCTCACCTGTTGGGAAGAGTTTGGGGCCTGCTGCATGTAGTATTGCTGGCTCTGTAGTTTGGCATACATAGCGTATACTGGGTCTTCATTCATTAGCTTAGCATAGAGAGACAGAGCTTCCATGACCTTCACGTTCAGCTCAGACAGCTCTGAGTGTTTCCTGAAACCAGGCACAATATTATAGCACATGTGCCAATAGTTGCTTTCATTGGATTAGAATATTTTCGATGTAAATTTTGGAATACCTGTCAGTGTCTTCCAGCTTCTGATCAATGAGAGGACCCATCTGGTTGCAAGCAGCTAAATGGGGGTAGAATGACTATGAATCAGTCTCTACAAGATAAAATAAATGTCCTGTCAGATCATAGGGATATGGTTTTACACTTACCCTCCAACTGTAGGAGCTCACAGGTGTCTGACTGGTCATCTGTCGGGTCTGCACTCTGGATCATCTGAAGCAGCTGGTCCATTTTCTCCTGCAGAACATTTCAAAAATATTGTATGAATTACATACCAGAAAGCATGTGGCCTCTATGAGTTCTGTAAGATTCTGTGAATAGTGGATGATTTATTTCACTGCATGTCTTGCCTCATCAATGTAGGCAGGCTCTGGTTCTGGTTCAATCGTCTCTACTTGGACTTCTTCACTAAACTGCACAGTCTTCTTCTCTGTTTTCACTGAGGAAAGATGAATGTGATCTCATAGGCAGAAAACAAATGTGCAGAAAAGCAGATGACCTAATGTACACTGGGGTCCAAAAGTGTGATTATTTTGAAAATATTGACCAAAAAAAGAAAATAATTTAAAACTACAAATATGTATAAGACAAAAAATAGACATAAATAGCTAAAAAAAAATGTCTAGAGGGGTTTGCCTTTTGGACTCTCCACTTGTTCTCCAAGAGTAATAGAATACTGAATGATTGTTTACTCCAAATGTGATCTTTATTATTTTGATCTTAAATGAAATGCAATAATACAAAATTGATATTAGCCACTTTCAAACATTCTCAGAGGTTGTCAAAAACCCTGAAAGGCTGCAGGTTGAAAAAACAGCAGATGTGACAGCTTTACTCACTCATCTCAGGCTCTGCTGTCAGGTCCGCTGTCACAAAGTTTGACGGAAAAAGCCCAACACCCTGATATGTCTCACCTTTCCACCAGTTAGGGTCACTGTGATGGAGAAGAGATGGTTCAGCCAATTTTCAATCACACTCTTTTTTTTGTCAGTGTTTAGAAACGGGCTGTGCGAATAATCAAAATCAAATTGCAATTTAAAACATTGCGATTAGCTAAATCGCAAGAGGCTGCGATATGAAATATACATGTTTTATTTGATTTCCCCCACCCAGAGCAAATGAGTGACTGCTGTCTGTGTGTGACAGTCTTACTAGCCAATTAGGTGAGCTCACGTTTGTTCTGCCCAATCAGAATTGCACAACCGAACTATGCAGAACAGCCACAATACAATAGACAAATTAATATCAAAGAAAAGCAGCACGTCGGTAATATGGGAATAATTTAGTCAAAGACACTGAACAAAAACAGGTCATTTGTAAGAGCTGTCGCAGAACTGTTGCCACATCATAAGAAAATACAACAACCAAAACCTAAAAAAGCACCACAGACGGCTATATGAGCAGTGTCATCTGTCAACTGAAGCCAACTGAAAGTATTGCTGGTCACCCTCAGTCTAGTAGCTAGCAACAGCAAAGTACAATTTCAGAGTTGTTTGCAGCTGTTACACCATATGAAAAAAAACTCTACGAAGGCACTAGAAGATAACTAACGCCGTAACTCACTACCTCGCTAAAAACACAGTGCCTTTTACTGCAGTGACCAAAGAGGGATTTGAAAACCTCATCTAAATGATGGATAGGAGATAAACTCTTCCGTCTTGCACATATTCTAGCCATTTTGCAGTGCCAGAGCTGTACGTTGAATGTCGTGATACTTTGTGTAACATTGTTTTTAGACAATATAAGCTAAAGAAAGGCTCTTATCAGCCATGTTAGTTTGCTGAGTGTTCTGTATTTTTTGTTCTGTATTTTGAAAATGAACTTCCATCCAGTGTGTAATACAGCTCTAAGTGAAGTAAAATATCCAGCTAAGGCTTAAATCTGAAAGTGCAGCATGTTTAAAACTTTTGATTTATCTATAAAAGAGTTGACTCAGAGTGGTTCAAATGAATCGTCGGGGTAACAAATCTTTAGCCGTGTCGGCTTGATGTTGATACGGAACTCAAGTCCCACCCATTTGTTGCACATGCAGACCCTGGAAAATTTAAACCCCGACGCGCAAACACTGTAGAAAAAAAGAAAAAAAAGAGAGGAAGACAAATACTGTAGCAGATCCCGGCTGATGTTGCGAAGACGCTGTGCTCTGAAGTGTGAGGGAAAAGATAGTATTATTACCCAAAGATCAGTCTGTAAAGAATCTGTGGTTGAAGTTTATTTTTGCAAAAATACCTTAGCTTTTTAGCCCCAGCCTTGTGCTAAGTTCCTGTCATTTTTCTGACGAGTGCCTTAGCAATCTACATGCTTACAACGGGGAATTCATCGGACGTTTGTTAAAGGAAGGATCAATAAAGATTATTGATGTATGGGCTCACACATACACTCTGACTACTTCAAAATTGTTGATAAGTCGTGGTGGGCAATTCTCTGTCTCATGCTGAGAACAGTTGACCAATTGCTAATCAGCGCAGATTAGCATTGCATTAAGGAGGGGTTTGGAAACAAGTGAATCACTGAATAAATCTTGTGGAAGTAGTTGGGATAATGAGGTAAAAATAAATGCATACTATAAGACAATGAAAGTGTTTTTGACCTAGCATGCATATCAGCCTTTTGTTGGAGACCCTTAAAACCAAAATATGACTTTTTAATGCATAATAGGGGCTCTTTAACACTTTAGTGTTAGTTTTAGTAGTAATGATTAAGCTGAAGTTTATTTACAAAATCAAATAGCAGTATGTCTAAAAAAAAAAAAAAAAAAAAACACTTTTTAAAAAAAATGATAAAAATAAATCACAACCAGATATTACGCCCAAATCACACAGCCCTAGTGCCCTAGTTTAGAATGGTTCATGTAAGAGCACTGTACATCCACTATTACCTCTACTTTGAAGTAATACTTCTCCTTTCATAGTGATGTGCTTGTAGCTTAGCAACCAGAAATGAGCTGATATTGAATTATCCATAGTGGCAGACAAATTCAATTTGGTACAAATGAGTAAATAATGTGCAGTGGGCATTAAAGAAAGCACAGCCAGTGAGGTGTGACCATCCATGAACACAACTGACTCACCTGTCATCCAGGATAGTGATGATCTCGCCTGATTTAAAAGTGAGCTCGTTGTCTTCGGCTGCTTCAAAGTCATAGATAGCCCTGACCTTTCTGCCGTCTGTCTTGTGGGAGGTCAGGAGGCTGCTGGTGCTCGGGTAGAGGCCAGACAGAGACACCTGAGGCTGCTGATGCCGCTGGTCCTTCAGAGACAGTTCAATAGCTGAGAAAGAGAGACACAGACTGACATATTACCACACTTTCTTCAACTCAATTCACCTCAGACTCCAGGATTTTAGACTTGCACCCACCTTTAGCAAGGTCTTCTTCTTCCTTCTTGTTTGTTGATGTTGCAGGATCTTTAGCTACCAATGCGGGACTGGCTTTAGCTTGCTCTGCTGCCTAATCAAAAAATTAAACTTCTCATTACTCATCTTATTACATTAACATTATAATACACATATCGCCTGCTTTAAATCTTAATAATTACACAAAAAAACTGACATAATGAAACAATGTTACAAAAATTGAGCATGTTTTAGATCATATTAGTGGTCTTTTAATAAATTCAATTACAATAACTTTTTATAAAAGCTAAAAAAAAAAATTAAAAAAAAAAACTATTGGCTAATGCTCTGGAGACCATGACTTGCATGTTACTATAATATTAAATGTTACAAATACTATAAATAATAAAAAACAAAGCCGATAGTAAAATATAAACAATAATTTACAGGGGATACAGTAAATTTTCAGAACGCTTTAATTTTTTTCACTCTGTTATATTGCAGCCATTTGCTAAAAGTTTTTTTTCCCCCTCAAATGTACACACAGCAGCCCATATTGACAGAAAAACACATATGTATTCAGAACCTTTGCTGTGAAACTCATATATTTAACTCAGGTGCTGTCCATCTCTTCTGATCATCCTTGAGATGGTTCTACACCTTCATTTGAGCCAAGCTGTGTTTGATTAGACTGATTTAACTTCATTAGGTAAAGACACACACCTGTCTATATAAGACCTTACAGCTCACAGTGCATGTCAGAGCAAATGAGAATCATGAGGTCAAAGGAACTGCCTGAAGAGCTCAGAGGCAGAATTGTGGCAAGGCAGAGATCTGGCCAGGGTTCCAAAAAAAGTTCTGCTGGATTAACGTTCCTAAGAGGACAGTGGCCTCCATAATCCTTAAATGGAAGATGTCTGGGACGACCAGAACCCTTCCTAGAGCTGGCCGTCTGGCCAAACTGAGCTATCGAGGAGAAGAGCCTTGGAGAAAGAGGTAAAGAAGAACCCAAGATCACTGTGGCTGAGCTCCACAGATGCATTTGGGAGATTGTAGAAAGTCAACCATCATCGCAGGCCTCCAGCAGTTGGGGCTTTATGGCAGAGTGGCCTGAGACTTGAAAGCCTGTATGCAGTTGGCTAAAAAACTGCCTGAAGGACTCCAAGATTAGAAATAAGATTCTCTGGTCTGATGAGGACAAGGTAGAACTTTTTGGCCTTAATTCTAAGCGGTCTGTGTGGAGAAAACTTGGAACTGTTCATCATCGGTCCAATACAGTCCCAACAGTGAACCAGTGTGGTGGCAGCATCATGCTGTGTGCTCAGAACCTTAGAGTGGGCAATGACCTTAAGCACACAGCTAAAATAATAAAGGACTGGCTTCACAACAACTCCATGATTGTTCTTGAATGGCCAAACTAGAGCCCTGACTTAAACCCAATTGAGCATTTCTGGAGAGACCTAAAAATGGCTGTTCACCAACGTTTACCATCCAACCTGACAGAACTGGGGAGAATCTGCGAGGAGGAATGGCAGAGGATCCTTGTTTTATTCAAAACTTGTTGCATCTATGTCAAAAAGACTCACGGCTGTATTAGATCAAGAGGGTGCTTCTACTAAATACTGAGCAAGGGGTCTGAATACTTAGGACCACGTGATAACTTTTTTTTTTTAAATAAGTCTACAAAAATGTCAACAATTCTGTGTGTTTCGGTCAATATGGGGTGCTGTGTGTACATTAATGAGGAACAAATAGAACTTAATGATTTTAGCAAATGGCTGCAATATAACAAGTGAAAGATTTAAGAGGAACTGAATACTTACTGTACCCACTATACATGTTATTGGTTGGGATGTGCACTATATAATGTCTAGTGGGTTTTCACTAACTAAAATAGCACAGACTAAAAATCTGGTATTGGGATTTAAGAATGAAGAGGTAAAAAACTAAAAGTTTCAACTTCAGCGAGATGCAAAGGTTAAAACAACCATGTATTTTTGGTGCATTCCTGACACGTTTATTTCTCTGGTACATCTACAATAAGTGACTCCGGCATTTAAGAGAATCCTGTGATTTGGCAGATCTGCATTTTCAGGGAGCAAGATCACCTGAGAGCCCACGGCAGGGAAGATGACGCCCTGCTCTCGGAGGTTCTTAATCATTGCAGAGATCAGGCTGAGCTGAGGGTCGTTGCGGAAATCCTCGGCCCATTCCACCATCAAAGCCTTTAGCTTCTCACATACTTTTGGGTGACCCTTGAAAAGAAAGTACCTCGACATCAGCCTACTGCTGGACAAAACATTGCATCATATACTCAACAAACTAAACTACATACCTTATTTAGCACATTGCTAACTTCACTAGCAAATTCCCTGGAGCAGACCTCTAAATGGAATATCTTTCCACAGTTTGACACACATGCACCGAGTAGCTGTGGAACAGAAAACACTTGTTTCAGTCTCAACCGCTCATTAATGGCTTCTGATGTTTGCATACTTGAGATAAAAGCATGCTTCCTCCTCATTTACTAGCATTAGCAGTCGCTTGCCTTACCGTCAACGCTTGCATGGCAACATGGGGATCCTTGTGATTCACTCTCCTCATTATAGATCGCAGGCATTCTTTAGGCCTTCAGAAGACAACAAATAATATTTTACCACCCATTAACTTAAAAGATACGCTCAAAAACATGCTAAATGCTTGTTTACTAACCCAGTGCGAGACTGTCCGATCTTGTCACAAATGTCCAGAATGAGGCCCCAGTCCTCAGCTGTGTTCATCTCACTTGTTGCTTTTTCTGAAAAAAAAAAAAAAAAAAGCTAACTTAAATGTCTATTCATCATAATGACAATTCATTTTCAGACATTGCATATGCAAATTAATTAATCTATTTTTGTGAAAGGCTGCTGGTTCTGTTTCATATCACTGACACTAGAGGCCATGTATACAGCTGGCTTTAAGATGAGTTTTTGTCAATCCACTCACAAGTGGAAAATACTAAACGTGTAAACAGGGGCTTACATGTTTTGAGCTTGTCCACTATTGAACACTTTTCTAAAAGGTAGACTGCCTCCATAGTAGGGATGTAATGATTATCTGATTTCACTATTAACCGTGCTTTAATTCATCACGCTTAATTAATCGTAAAACCTTACGAATAAACAGAATAAAACTGCTGCAACTAAATTTGTCAAATGTGTGCTAGTTTAAAGTTCGGAGCATGTATAACAAGGCTTATATGCACACACACTGGATCAACTACGGCTGAAACTAGCAGCATAAGGCTGTTCACTTATCTCATCTTTTGCTTGCGCTAATTCGTTACATTCCAGGTGCACCTAGTTGAAAACATATGAACTTTTAGAATGCTGCGATCAGCAACGCGTGTTGAAAATGGTGGAGGAAGCAACGCGCACATGCTTTCCACACATTTTTAGATACTGTTTGTGAATGGTCCCCAACCCTGTTGCCTGAAGTGGAGTTTTATGATTATTTTGGGTACACAAAGAATGACCAGGGCGTCATTAAAGACGACAGATCACCTTTTTGCAAAATGTGTCATAAAAAGGTTGCTGAGAAAAGATCAAACACATCTAATTTGATGCAGCAGCTGCGGGATCACCATTCAGCTTTGCATGCTCAAGTAACGGTAAAATGCATAATTAAGTTAAATTCCATGGCAAATTACTTGAATGAAATACGTTGCTAGGAAATTAAATATTAACAGTGTCAGAATCAATGCTGTATCAGTGAGAGTTGTGGGTGGCTTTCAGTGCAACATAAACAACGTAAACAAGACGAATTATTCCAAATTATTAAAATGATTACGTATGTATGAAGGCTGATAAAACAGAAGTTCATTTAAGTTCATTCATTTTCTTTTCGGCTTAGTACCTTTATTAATCTGGGGTCCCACAGCAGAATAAACCGACAACTTATCCAGCATATGTTTCATGAAGTGGATGCCCTTCCAGCTGCAACCTTTCACTGGGAAACACTCATAGACTTTTATTCATACTCATACACTACGGATAATTTTTTAGCTTACCCAATTCACCTGTACCACATGTCTTTTGACTTGTAGGGGAAACCCACACGAATGCTAACTCCACACAGAAATGCCAACAGACCCAGCTGAGGCTCAAACTTTGCTGTGAGGCAACAGCACTACCTACTGCGCTGCCTTCATTTAAGTTAATATTAGTATTTTATATTGATAATAACATTCATATAAATTATAGAAATGCATGTATTTTCTCTGTACTGTATCATTCATTTTCAAAAGGAATTACTGTTTCTATCCAATTTTGTAATATAGTTGATCAAAAGTGCCTTTTTGACAGGTTCAGCAGCCTTTGACTACATTTGTTCTCTTTAAAAGATAAATAGTGAGCTAATCTGTAGTAGCTTTAATTTAGATTGAATAAATAAATAAAAATATTGTATTTGTATATTGTTCTGTCATTTATTTTCAGTGTAGAATTATTACTTATGTTTAAATGCCAAAACTTTTTTCACTTAATTAGAAGTTCAAAGAGATAAATGGACTATTGTTGGTTTTTATTATTATTTAGTGCTGTATTATTTAGTTACTGAGTAGCAATAAATATCACTTTAAAATATAAGGAGTTTTTATGTGATTTATTAAACTAGTAGTGTTTTGAAATCATTGAATGCATAATAATTGTGATAACTTTGATTATTCCCCAGACTTTAATCGTACAACAGAAGTCAATTATCATTGAATTCCTACATATTAGGTTGAATACTTTAACCGTTTAAACAACAACAAACAAAACTAGCTTTCTATTGAACTTTTAATCATTACGAGGCAGGGTTCAACATGGATTTAAACATTGCTATTAAAAATTTAAATTCTGGCTTGAAGAAAAAAACAAGGTAATATACAACACTCTCTTAGCAAACAAACATGGTATGGTGTGGTTTTGGAGCAATCAGAGCAGAAACAAAAGCTGTTGCACTCATCTACTTATGATCCAACTAGCCAAAATACATCGTTAAAAAATAACAAGCACATAAACGGGTCAGAATCACAAATATATGCCAATGCTGAAGACAAAAACCAGAAGAACAGAGGAACTGTATGTATTTCTGTTTTTCTGTAAACCTGAATACCAGCATTAGGGTTGCACAATATATCATTTCAATGTGTGCATCCACGATAGTCACATCGCAAACTACACAATGTTGAGTCTGGATTATAGTTGACCAGGAGCCACAGAACACATGTGGTTTGTAGATAGAGTCACTGCTAAGTTTACCCTTAATAGAGTGAAGATTTATCATTTATATGGGTTCATAATGCCTGTGAATGAGCATCTCAAGAGAGTTTAGAACATTTGTGCACAAAAAAACATGTTTAGAGTGGTGCAAGAAACTTGAAAAGATTTATCACATTTAATTTATCTACGCAGAATTCATATAATTTATTCATAAAAGGCTTTTTTTTTAGAATTTTTGTTTCTAGTTCAAATAACTAAATTTCAAAGTAAAAAGATTATTTTACTTAATTTAGTGGGATTATGTTACCCCACTGGCAGATAATTCTGCTTGTTTTAAGGAAAAACTAGGTGAAACCACAACAATATTTTTACTTGATTAAGAATCTTTACATTTTTGGACTAGAAATGAGACAAAACAAAGAACAAAAACATTTTATTGCATTGTGATTATTCAATTTTTGTACTTAAATACTGTGAAATAGAGCTAATCAAACCATCTTGTGAAACATATAGTAATATTTATCGCTGAAAAACAATCAGATTTTTCCAATATTGTGCAGCCCTAAACAGCAACAGTACTTGATTCACATAATCTTCCAGAAATCATTTTCAATATGCTGATTTATTGCTCAAGAAAACATTTCCCTCAATTAACAAATGATACAGTTTTTCCTGCATAGAGAATTACGAGGCCGCCCTCTCCAGGCAGGCTGTCAGACCCCAAGTGATGCTAAAGCACTGGTTGTGTATTTAATTACATTTAAGGTTAGCCCTTTTAAATAACTAGACTCTTTTACTTGATGAGATTACAGGAATAACTTATAAGGTGTTTGATTCAGTAGCAAAAATCTCATTATCTGCCTCACTTACCCAGGAAAATCCCTGAATGTTGAACACATTGTGCTGAGTTTATTTTCCACAAATTTCTTGATGAATGGAAAAAGGTCAAGCATTCAGTATATTTAAAAACAATACTTGTTAAGCTCTCAGTCTTAACAGTTACATTACATTAATATTATACATGCTGAATAAGAAATTTGTAATTCAGTAATAATAATAATAATAATAATAATAAAACAAATCTTAATTCAATTCTTTCTGATCACAAATGTCTTAACATGTCAGATCTCTGGATTCACTGTATTTACATGTAGATACCATTTTAAAAAGGGTGTCATGGTGGCATAGTGGGCAGTACGATCACTTTACAGCAAGAAGGTCGCTGGTTCAAGCCCCAGCTGGGTCAGTTGGCATTTCTGTGTGGAGTTTGCACGATCTCCACTTGTTGGCGTGGGTTTCCTCCGGGTGCTCCGGTTTCCACCACAGTCCAAAGACGTGCTATAGGTGAATTGAATACACTAAATTGGCCATGGTGTGTGTGAATAAGTGTATGTTTCCCAGTGTTGGCTTGCTGCTGGAAGGGCATCCGCTGCATAAAACATATGCTGGATATGAGAAAATGCAATGAAAAAAAAACGAATGATGCCATTTAAGAATATGGGTTTCTGCAAAAAGCTTATTATTATACATTTTGTAGAGTATTGATTATTATTAAAATATTTTAGCTTGGAATCATTCACAGCAACCTTTGTGAATCTGATTTTCTTTTAAGTCCTATAAAAATCATTTAAAGGCACATCAGATATCTCCCCTTACTAAAAAAGGTTAACCAGTGACCTACATTCACTTTGAGATTGTGTTGACCAGTCTCGCAAACAGTCAAATAGAGAACAGAGGTCAGTTGAAACATAAAAACACACCGCCCATGTTCAATATCTGCAATTTCAACATAAATACTAATACAAAACACTGAACAGTAGACCAATTCTTTACTGAAAATCCCTTATGCCATCAGACTGTCAATGACGTCTGCAGTTACTGTAATGCACATAACATACATGTGAATATAGAATCTAACCCTAACACTTCATGCATCAAAGTGCCTACATATACATTACATTAGCAGATGCTAACTGGGTTGGTTAACTGTTGCCCAGCAAAACTCACATAAGCAGGCTCAGAATACAACAAAGTTAAACACAATACAGATCTGTAACATTAATAATAGCCTACTATAGCGGATATTGTAGGAGCATACACAGCTCATAACACATAAAAGGAGCAGGCGGGGTCATTTGCAGCGTCACTGTATGCACCGTTAGCTTGAGTGTTGGATACATATATATAATAAAGTAGTAATATGTCCTAAATCGTACAATATGACCCGTGAGTACGTGTTTTTACCAAATAGTGCGCTGTCAGGGCCGTACAAACAAAGCGAGTCGACAGTCCCAGCTCCTTCGGCAACAAACTTGGCTAGCAATCAGGCTAATAACATGTTAAGCTCACGAGTTGTGAGCGTGTTGTCATGTTAATAACCTCAAGATAAATTCGCGATTGTTGATTATTCATTCACCGGAACACCATTACGGCAATGTCTCGAGTATTTCAAGTAAAACTGAAGCGATACATAAAGCCGGTGTGTTGGCGTGAACAACAATAGACACAGCAGAGCTCCGTTAGCTCGACCGCTAAATGCATGACAGCTCAAACTTACCAACATCTTGATCAAATGGATTTGTCGTGAAGAGAGGCATGGCCGAGAAATACACGCTACCAAACCTAAACTCGATCCTCTTCTTGTGCTTCTCCCTGTCAGCACTTGATTAAAAGTGAATGAATAAACATAATAGAACAGAAACTCCGCTCAGTGTCGCTGACGGGAATCGGGATCCCCTACTCAGTCACTCACTCCCTGCAGTGGTGCATTCTGGGTAATACACACGCCGCACAGTTAAACATACAAACAGACGGGCATAGCCAAATAAATATGATTCCCCTGGTAAAGGATTGGTGTTTGGACGGTGGGGTTTATTAATCATGTGGTGTAAACAATGATTTATAGGAGTTAAGGACAGTTCGGTGACAAATCATATGACTTGATCATCACATGGTACGACAGGCTCTCTGACTCAGCAGTCACGAGATTATATTTACATTCACCCCCTCTTGTTTTGTTTATTTGGTTAAAAATCTAAATTTGTGATTTTTTTCATTATTGGGGAATTAAGACAACTTGTTGTTTATTCAAACTACAATTAAGACTGTGAGGGGAAATTGTTAGAACTAAAATAGAATATTGGTGTGGGGAAATTGTAGTAATTTTTCAGAAACTGAGCTGTGGATGTGTTCATAGTGCTTTGCAATGGCATTATATTTGTATAAGTAATAAACTATGAATTCAAACGGACTTACCTTCAAACATAGGGGCTTCCAAAAATATATTTTTGAGGTTACATTTCCTGATCTAAAAATACCTCATGCATTTATACAAGTTTAAAATGTAGTTTAAAAATGTAAAACCATAAAGTTAAATAAATACTATACCTTCAAATGTTTGGGCTCTTTATAATGTTTTAGAGCAGGGGTTCCCTAACTTTTCAGCACGCGACCCCAAAATAACAATGCCAGTGACTTGTGACCCCCACATTCCTCAGAAGTGTAATAATAATAATAGGCCTATATAAACATGAGCGTATTGACAACACGAAAAAAGTGCAGCAGTCTAACAACCATAGGCTAGAATTTATTTGGTGAATGAATGAATTTATTTATTTAACAGGGACAATGCACAAAAATTACATTAACCACAGAGGAAAGATGCATTGTGCCAGGTTGTAGCAGGATTGCTAATTTCCAACTGCAGTCCCTGGACAGGTTAGAATTAAAACAATGATATCCAATTAGTTAAAAAGTCAGATTAAAACATTCAGGCACAATCGCATATAAACTAAAACCCTGACAACTCAAAAACATCTCACTCAGTGTGTACAAATTTGATTTCACAAAAACCACCTCCTAGTCAGGAGTGAAAACATCATATAATTTGTACATGTGATTATTTCTGTTGGGACAGAATTCCATAGATTTGAGGCTTTATAAATAAAAGAGAATTGACCAAAAGAGGGGCAATACATTCCCCTTTTACCATAGAATGCGTCACTTGCGATGTTTTCTGATTTGGAATTTAAAATAATTTTTTAAACGATGGAGCAGAAAGATTGTGAATAATTTTAAAAACAAAACAAATATTGTATTATTTAATATTATGTTTTTAAAGAGATCGCAGTGATGGTACAACCAAGGCTTGAACTTTAAGTGCTCTCTTGTATATTGATTTCAACAGTGTTAAAGATGATTTACATGATTGAGACCAGCTCGTTATACAGTACAACAAACGTGGAACAATCATAGTATTTAAATACATACCCGAGGCCTCATAAGTCAGAGAATCTCTGATATGTTTGAAATTTCTTAGATTGAATCACAGTGTGGTAGCAAGTTTTTAATATGAGTTTTAAAATTGAGCTCTGAGTCTAACATGATGCCTAAATATTTAAATTCAGTGACATTTTTAATACTTTGCCCATTTATAAAAATTTCTAAAACTTTTCCAACTTTAGACCTATTTGAGAAACATGGATACAGTCTTTTCAACATTTAAGGTAAGGTTTGGATTTTGCAACCATTTAAAAACATTTTGCATTTCATTTGTTAATTTAGTAGCAACCTCTGTTGGATTTTTTTTCATAAGTGTAAAGCATAATCAGCGTACATTAATAAATTAGCATCAATGCATATAGCTGCTAAATCATTTATATAAATACTAAAAAGTAAAGGTCCTAAAATGGATCCTTGAGGCACTCCTAATCTAATTGGTTTAAAGGTAGATAACCTGAACACATTGACTCCAATCACTTAAGTATGATTTTATCCAGTTTAGTGTTTGCTTTGAAAGATCGTAATTGTTTAATTTGTTAATTAAAATATCATGGTTAACAGTATCAAATGCCTTACGTAAATCAAGAAAAACTGCTCCCACCCACCCTCAACCCCCTTTATCTAAATTTGTCTTTATCATTTCTAAAAAGTAACAGCAAGCTGTCTCAGTTGACAATTTTTTTCTAAAACAATTATGTATTTTTCTTCTGTGAGTTATGGATAAAATATGGTAATTCTAACAGTTTAATCTAATTTATTTGACTTTTTGAAATTACAAAGCAAGCCCCTGTCATTGTACTGCGATCCCCACTTTGGGAACCACCATTTTAGAGAAAAATCTCACTTTCATCAAGGCTCTTTATAACTATCTATATGTCTTATTATTAATACAACTAATGAATCAATTATAGTTTATTATTCACTTTTTATTAGCAACAATATTAAATTAAAATTCAATCAACTGATTCTTGTTCTAAACATGTCTGACAAGATTACTAAATTATTAGATACAATTTATTGTTACACTGTCACATTGGGCATTTTGACTAAATCAGTATAAATGATTATGGATAATATTTGTGCTTAGACAAAAAATATATAAACACATACTGCAAAACTGGTAAATGCATAATGTACACTTACCAGCCACTTTATTAGGTACACCTTACTACCGGGTTAGACCTCCTTTTCCCTTCAGAATTGCCTTGATCCTTCATGGCATAGATTCAACAAGCTACTGGAAATATTTCTCTGAGATTTTGGTCCATATTGACATGATAGCATCACTCAGTTGCTGCAGATCTGTCAGCTGCACATACATGATGCGAATCTTCACCACATCCCAAATGTGCTCTATTGGACTGATATCTGGTGATTGTGGAGGCCATTTGTGTACAGTTAACTCATTGTCATGTTCAAGAAACCAGTCTTAGATGATTCAAGCTTTATGTCATGGTGCGTTATCCTGCTGGAAGTAACCATCAGAAGATGGGTACACTGCGAAAGGGATGGACATGGTGAGCAACAATACTGAGGTAGGCTGTGGCGTTGACATGATCCTCAATTGGTAAATTCTGACCCTACCACCTGAATGTCGCAGCAGAAATCAAGACTCATCAGACCAGGCAATGTTTTTCCAATCTTCTGTTGTCCAATTTTGGTGAGCCTGTGTGAATAGCCTCAGTTTCCTGTTGTTAGCTGACAGGAGTGGCACCTTTGGTGTGGTCTTCTACTGCTGTTGCCCATCTGCCTCAAGGTTTGAGGTTTTGTGCATTCAGAGATGCTCTTCTGCATACCTCAGTTGTAATGAGTGATTATTTGAGTTACTGTTGCCTTTCTATCAGCTTAAACCAGTCTGGCCATTTTCCTCTGGAATCAACAAGGCATTTGCGACCACAGAACTGTCGCTCACTGGGTATTTTCTCTTTTTCTGACTATTCTCTGTAAACCCTAGAGACGGTTGTGCTTGAAAATCTCAGTAGATCAGCAGTTTCTGAAATACTCAGACCAGCCCATCTGGAACCAACAAACATGCCACATTCAGAGTCACTTTAATCCCCTTTCTTCCCCATTCTGATGCTGTTTGAACTGCTTGAACTCGTCTTGACCATGTCTACATGCCTAAATGCATTGAGTTGCTGCCATATGACTGGCTGATTAGAATTTTGCATTAATGAGCAGTTGGACAGGCGTACCTAATAAAGTGGCCGGTGAGTGTATTTATCTTATTATTAATATTATAGTTTACAATAACTTTTTTTTTTTTTTAGGAAATATTCAATCAAAATACAGTCAACTGATTCTTATTCTAAATATGTCTGACAAAATTACTAATCAATAGATACAAGTTATTGTTACACTGTCACAGTAAACACAGTATAAACACATACTGTAAAATCGGTATATGCATAATGTATGTGTGATTGAAATAAGTATTGAACACAGACATTGCATTCCACATTTAGACATACTGATAAAATGTCAAAAGCATATTGAAAAATACCTACTATATTTTATTTCAGATAAAAACATGGTCTTTGATCATGACTACATACATGTACATGTGTTCAAATACACAACTATTTTATACATAGCTACTGCGTAATCAAATATTTCAAAAATTCAAAACCTTATCAATTTTTTTAATATAAAATCACATCAATGATGTTCCAAGACTTATGATATAAAACTCTGTTGTGAACGATTTTTGGATTATAGTCATTAAAACATATTAACTGTAGCGTTATGCTCGGCTGTTCAAAGCTTCATTTCAATTAAAGCAGCTACAAAGCTTCATTGTATTGCACTGGAGTAATGTGGCATCAGCTTTGTTAATGACACAGGGAAGACAGGTATTTACAGTCACACGATTACAATACATTACAGCCTTTTCACTTATCTAAACATTAACGTGACTGGTGATCAGTGTTTTTTGTGTAGTTTGCAGTATTGACTTGGTCGTGATTGTCGATGACTTTACTTTTGAGTTTATCACGTACTGTATGTTGCACTCTGGCCAAAGCGAGAGGATACTGTGACAGAAACCTTCTCAAGTGTCTTTATGATTGTCATATCATATTCTCTTTTCATTCATTCAACAGATGCTATAAAACTGGAACTTTGGCTGTGAAAATGGAAAAAGACACCAATTAATTACACACAAGCACAATTTAGATGAAATTATGAAAATGAAAAGGAGGTCAAATTAGATGATTAGTACTTACATTCATTAGTTCGTTCACAAATAAAACCAATGCGTTCTGTGCAGAAAAAGTCATTCCAACTGGCCTCGTGTATCAACCCTGCGCAGTCCTCACCAGCTTCATGACCATGGCTCCAGTTATCAGGCTGACCAGGTTTCCATTTTCTTTTAATTAAAATCAAGAGATATGTACAAATATTTAAATATAAAAGTGCTGCAGAATGTAAACTGGATGAGCATTATATATTAAATCAATGATTTCATGGCCTAAATTTCATTTTAACTGAACTACAAAAAGTAAACAAATCCATAAAATACTATGTAAATTATTTCAATAAAATAATCAAACTGAAAAGAAATACAACTGAACTAAATTATTTATTATAAATTTCAATTTAGCTAGGACTCCACTACCTGACAAAAGTCTTATCGTCAATCTCAGTTGTAAAAGTAACAAATAATAGCTTGACTTCAAGTAGATTAAAAAAATGGCAGAAGGTACATTTTTCAGATGAATCATCAGATGAACTGCATCATAGTCATCACAAATACTGCAGAGACCAACTGGAACCTGCATAGACCCAAGATTCTCGTGGAAACAAGTCAAGTTTGATGAAAGAAAAATCATGGTTTGGGGTTACATTCAGTAAGAGGGCATGTGAGAGATCTGCAGAGTGGATGGCAACATCAACAGCCTGAGTTATCAAGACATTTGTGCTGCCCATTACATTACAAACCACAAGAGAGGGCAAATTCTTCAGCAGGGTAGCTCTTATTCTTATACTTCAGCCTCCACATCAAAGTTCCTGAAAGCAAAGAAGGTCAAGGTGCTCCAGGATTGGCCAGCCTAGTCACCAGATATGAACATTATTGAGCATGTCTGGTGTAAGATGAAGGAGGAGGCATTGAAGATGATTACAAAGAATCTTGATGAACTCCACAAGTCCTGCAAGAACGCTTTCTTTGCCATTCCAGATAAATGTATTATTAAGTTATCTGAGTCACTGCAGAGATGTATGGATGCAGTCATCCAAGCTCATGGAAGTCATACACAATACCAATTCTTTTCCCACTGCACCATGACAACACTATTGTCTAAGCAAAGTCAGACCTTACTGTCCTAACCAAATCATTAAAAAATTAAGGCGTGATCATGTTTTGGTAAAATAAGCATAATCTAGAGGCCTTTGCCTTTCATTTAAGCCACTTCTGATGCCAAACGAACACCTAGTAGTCAAGTTATTATTTGTTGTTCCTAAAACAACATAAGACTTTTGTCAGGTAGTGTAGAGACACTGAAATTGGGTTATGATGATGAGCTGCTCATGTATAAAGATTATTACAGCACTGTGTGTCACATTTATGATTTAATAATCACACTAATCAGAGCCCTGCAGAAATTAGTTCCAGCCCTGCATAAACAAACCTACCTGTTCATTTCAAACAAGCGTAAAGAACACAATTAGATTTAGGTGTTTAATTAGAGTTGGAACTAAACTGTGCAGAGTTTGACATCTGTGCATTAAACCCTGTGATGTTCACAATTATTGTTAGAAATATTAAATACAGTCTCTGATTAGCTGCTGAATGACTTTGTTGCTTATACATGCCAGTGTTGATTTATTTCACTTGGCAAATGTTAGTTTTAGACCCTGTGTACACTTTTTATATTTAGTTTGTTTACTCACGTATAGTTAGGCAGGCTCCCATCCACCCATCTCCAGATGTTTTCCTCTGCGCTGTCTGTAAGGCCCAGCCAAAAGTAGCCTTTTCCAGAAATCTGCCTCTTTATCCATAGCTGTGATAGATATTAAAGTGATCATTTATTTAACACACATTTAAAGGTTTTTTTTGTGGAAATTTAAAGGGTTTTAACTCCATTTGAACACAATTAATATGAATTATTGATGACATATTACATAATTGAGAGTATTATCCATGATCAGCTTACCTGCTCTTCTTCATCATTGATAATCAGCATAGATGAACTCAAGTTGCTGCATCTTTCCTTGGCTTCATCAAAGTTCAGACTCTCCATTGGAGCTGAGAAGTGATAGCATTGCTCTCTGAAGCCCTTCCACTGAGGGGGACATCCTTAAAAACAAGCAAATGGTAAACATATCTTCATTTGTCAAATTTTCAGAAATTTTGATATAGGATTAATACGTCAAAATTAAAATCTCTTTTACAAAAGAGTCTTGTCCAACACCGACAGCAGCACAGGTCGTTCAGACAAAATATGACATGCAGCGTAAATATGAAGAAAAAGAAAGATTTAATGTCATAATTATATCAAAAACTGGCTTTAAAAGATCATCGCTTTAAAATGAGAAAACAGGAAATAAGCAAACAAAGCAGCATATCTGAATGACCCTTTAGGCAGTTCCATAGCAACTTAACATAAGTCAAAGAATAAATCTTGTGAACAAGATTCACACAACTCTCTCTCTCTCTCTTTGACTTAAGTTGCAATGTGAAAGCAAGCCAAGAATGGACTTAAATACACACAAAAATGACCCAAACACAGGGACCAGCTGCCTAAATGGGACACATGCTACCTACCTAATGTTTGATGGAGAGCAGGTACACCATTACATGACACTGGGGTTTTCTACTGGAAGTGGCCTCTTTTAACAGGATACACTGGTCCACGCAGACCAACAATCATTGGGTAGGTAACATGGGCCCAAATTACTTTAGCATAAATGGTTAAACATTGAATTTCCATGTAAGATATTTGCTACAGAGAAAATGGGACACATCAGCTTCCATGGTCCAGTTCAAATGCTTGTGTGGGCATTGTCACAGTGTTCAACAGTCATTAAGGGATATTAGACAGTCTGACTGGTCTGTGAGTGACTTCACATCCCATACGCAGCAGACTGCCATGTGTCACAAGTTCAGTACCTACAATGTTTATGTGACCTATCATACCAAAGTAAACCTTCTGTTGGTTTGGCTAGATGGGATAGCCATTGTTGATCCCATGCATCAATGAACCATGGAAGCCCAACGTCATTGTCAGTTTGTACTTTTCTTTCAGGCCACTATGGGTAAATTCTCATTATTGACCAGGAACAACCTATAAGCTTTGCAGTTGCTGAGATAATCTCACCTGGTCACCAAACCATTTTGCTTTTATCATTCCAGGTTTCAGAAACACCATTTCATCAATGATATACAGCTGATTAGTTCAACATCTTATAACAACAACTATGCTTACATGGAAAACTTTTGTTTAAATCTGAATTAAAAAATCCCAATCGATGAATCTGTGTTTAAATGAAAGCTAAAAAAGTGATCAAGTTGATGGATCTCTATAAGTCAAATGCTTTAAATTAGGTTGTTGGCAAGCAAGTAAAGGTTCACTGGTTATATTTATCAGGCACTAAAAATGGCCCTTCCTGTACACCGAACAAGCCATCTGTGCATGACTCAAAAATCAAACGTTGAGCAAAAGGATAAATTTAGAATGGCTTGAGAGTCATTCATGACACTGTTCAACAACAACAGCTTGTTCTATGCATCATGGCTTTTTTTTACCTTGCTGCAAATCCACAAAGCTCCCTTTTTTATTTGATCAAGTGTTTACCCGTTCTATCAAAAGATTTATAAAATAAAAAAATATATGAGAAGAACAGCTTGTACCTGGTGTAGTTGTTGGTGGCGGCGCTACCTGGCGGTTGACAAAGCCTTGTGGATCTACTGGTGGCACAACTATTGGTGGTGCAGGAAGTCCTGGTAATCCAGGTGGTCCTGGTGGGCCAATGGGGCCTACGGGTCCACGGGCTCCTTCTAGTCCTGCAGGTCCAGCTGGACCTCTGAGTCCCTGTGGCCCTTGTGGGCCAGTAGGACCAGGCTGACCATCTCTTCCAGGCATACCAGGTATCCCAGGGTCACCTTTCTCCCCTGAAGGCCCTTGCCTGCCCCCAGATCCTCGTGAACCCTTTGGCCCAGGGCTTCCTCTTGATCCAGGTGGCCCTTTCAACCCTGGCACACCAGGAGGTCCCGCTGGACCCTTTTCTCCTTTAGGTCCAGCATCACCAGGTGCTCCTTTTTCACCCTTTTCACCTTTCGGGCCAGTTTTACCAGGTAGCCCCATGGACCCTTTATCTCCCCGAGGACCCCTTGGACCAGGAGGACCTAAAATCAACAATAAAGAAATGCTAGATGAGTCATTATGTAGATTAAGAGATTAATTTTGACTCAGACCCTGACCCAGGACTTACCCTGAAGGATGGTGAAGTTTGTGATGAGCTGCGAGTGTTTGTTGTCAACCAGTTTCATTTCATCCATAACTATGGAAAGGCTGCTGACCTCTTTGTCAAGCCTGACAGCGAGTTCCTCCTGCTGGGCTTTGAGCTCTGTGCTTTCTGCCCTGGTTTCAGCCACACTGTTGTTGAGCCCATGCAGCAGTTCTGAGTGTCGGGTCACCGTCTCAGAGCACGTGCGCAGACCATTCAAGTCTGTACTGATCGCTCTGAGCAGCTGCGTGGTAAAGCTAACATTCCCTGTTATGCGGTCCATTTCCCCCTCATTGCTGTCAAGACGTGCCTCTAATGCATCAAATCTAATGGAGGTGGCATTATCATGATCTCGCTGCTGGTCCATGAGCTCACGCAGGCTCTGATCATGGCTGTCAGTGATGGTCGAAGTGTTCTGGACCTGCTCTGACAGTGTGGTTAACTGAGAGGTTACGTCCTCTAGAGAGTCACTGTTAGAGCGAGTCAGCAGAGAATTATTAGCCGCTAAAGCCTGAAGGTTCTGCACCTTCTCTCTCAGCCAATCAGCATCTGCTTTGGTTTGCCTAGCCACCTGCTGGAGGCTCTGATAGTCATTCTTAAGCTTCTGCACAGCCTGGCCAGTGTCCTCCACTGATCTCTGGAGGGAGCTGATGAGGTTCCTCTGCTGGGTCTGGGTAAAGTTTAGAGTGCTGATGCTGTGGCTGTTTTGGCCCTGTTCACTTGTCTGTACATGGAGATCTGACTGGAGTCTCGCCGTTTCTGTTTTTAATCCATCAATCAGACTGTTGTATGTGTTCAAAGTGTGGTTTACTTTGCTGATGACATTGGCATTGCTCTCCAGCAGGTCTCGCAGCGAGAGATGTCCACTCTGCATGTCCTCACCAGCTAGCTGTAGCTCTTTGAGAACAGCTCTGTTGTTGGAAGTCTTCACAATAACGTCGCTGAGCTGCTTCTGCAATGTCTGAAATTCCAACTTGAATGAGTGAAGTTCACTGGTAGCATTTTCTGACTTCTCTCCCGTTTGATCATCTGCACATTAAATGTACAACTACAGTGAGTAATATAAATGGCTGTACATTGTCATTAATTTTAAAAAGTCATCGCTTGACAGGCTTTCAATAGAAAACATATAGTTAATATAAAAAGCGATGAGGTCTCATAATAATAATAATAATATAAATAAAAATGGTACATTTTTGTGTCATTAATAAACTTTGTTCTACATTGTTTGTAGAGCACCCCCAGCCCAAGGCCCTCCACTCAAACAAATATGGAAAGTGATAGAAAGTAGATACAGATATGGCCACTGAGAAAGCGCATTTCTTCATGTGCAGTGCTGCAATTAGTCACATGCAGTGCTGCAGCAGCAAAAAACGCCTTTTCATAAAAAATAAAAAAAATCCATATCCACCAGGTGGTGCAAAGAACAACCGCTGTTCCATTGTTGAACCAGTGCAAGCCTAAGGTCCCAAGTTCTATCTTTGTAATAAAATAAATATAAGGGAAGAAAAAGCATAGCTACTAGAATAGGGGTCTTATTTTGCTTAAAATCGCCCTTATGTTTCTCTTTTAAATTTAAAGGTGTGCATAAAATAATTAAGTAGTTTTAGTTTCATTCATTCATTCATACATTTATTAATCTATGGCCGCCACAGCGGAATGAGCCGCCAACTTATCCAGCACATGTTTTACGCAGCGGATACCCTTCCCGTCGCAACCAATCTCTGGGAAACATCCATACACAACCATTCACACTCATACATTATAGACAATTTAGCCTTCCCAATTCACCTACCGGAGAACCCGGAGGAAACTCATGTGAACGTGGGGAGAACATGTAAACTCCACACAGAAATGCCAGCTTATCTCTCCGAAGTTCGAACTAGCGACCTTCTTGCTGTGAGGCGACAGCACTACCTACTCCACCACCGCGTCACCTTAGTTTTAATTTAATAAATGATTTTTCTTTGCTGTATCCTCCTTGATGTTTTAATAACGCGTAATAATTGCGTAAAAATAAGCGCATTAAAGAGACAGCAGCCAGTAACTTTCAGTTGTCCAGAGTTTTTGTCACATTTTAAAAGTGTGTTTGTGCATGAAACATGCACGTTTAGGTTTCTTTATTTTGGAGATAATGAATACATATTTCTATTCACATATGAATACAACAGAAAGACGAAAAACTTCACAAATTACGTATCCACTTTTGTAGGCTTAACACAATTTCATTGCTCTAGATAAAATAGCTGAAGCTGTTTTGAAATCATTTGAGGAATTACAAATATTGGATATAATAAAAACATTAAATAAATAAAGTAATATAAGACAAACAAAAGTTATAACAATATAGATATAAACAATATAATATAAATAAATTAAATTTTAATTTTACAAAGGCTCATTAGTTTTTTTGTCAAATGATTTTAGGATTAAAGGAAGAAATTTCCTTTGCTTCTCCACCTGTGCGCTGCTACAGTATATCAGTTCAGTATGTTCACTATGTTACATAACTGCCCCCTGCTGGTCATGTCTCTCTTGCTATTTTGTGCTGTGCCACGCAGTACTGCAGCATTGTGTGAGGTCACTTTCATTCACTTGTGCATTCTTAGTAGCCACATCTGTACAATTAATCTGTTTAAACAGTAGGGATAGGCATAAGCAGCAATGAGTCTCCCTCAACTACTTGTGCTCTTAATTCCAGGACTTAAGAACAGGTCCATAGCATGAATGAGTCAGTTATGTATGATATTTACTCTCTACTGGAGTCTGTTGGACTTACCAAGTTTCTTAAGATCAGTCTCTACAGCCGTGATTTTCCCTCCATAATTTTGCATACCCTCTGTTACATTATCCATCCTCTGGACCACTGCAGGACACACATTATAGATGTCAAGTCAGACTAGTGTACTGTAAACCCTGATGTAGCACTTTCATGGGTCAAAAAGCTTCTTGATAGACAATGAAATCATTTCCTCCAATATGCTGATTGTTTTGAGCTGTGCAGACGATTTAGCGTTGTCAAGTCATACAGAGCATATGCATAAAAATGCAACATACATTCCACACACCCAGTCATGCAGGAAATGCACGACACTTCATTTCCTTTGGAATTTGGAGTGGATCCTGAGGAGTTGTTATCGGAGCATCTCCTGAGCCTTTGTGGTGATTCCCAGCAGTCTTGCTGGCACCACTACAGCCATTCAAGGACAGATTCTGCTCTCATCCCTGATTTGTACAATAATGAAACCCCAGTTAAAAATGCCTGAGGGCTAAAATGTTAATATAACCAACTCCGACCATGACCAGACCATTTATTATCTTATACAATGCTGTAAACGTCTTACATTAGTCCTCATGCTGGAGTTGCATGTTGTTGTTTACCACTAGATGGCGCTATCACTATGCATCATCCGTTTGGTGAGAGGTATATGATTAAAATACCAACTGCCACATTTATCATTTGCTTTGGGACGTGGTCTTACAGGCTATTCAGACAAAGTCCCGGAATGGCTTCAGATCCCCCCCTTCGATCGCTGTGTTTATCCTATTCAATATCTCAGCAGCGGTCAGACTTGCATGCAAAAATAAAGTCATCATCTTCGCTCTCCAGTGTATTTGGTCTCACTGTTTTTTAACTTGCGTTTCATTGAGACATGCAGCACTCGGCGATCTGCTGCCAGCTAACTCAAACACATCAAAGATCCAGGGTGTTAGCATTCCTGACTGCGCTTGTGTAACTAAACACAAAACAAATATATGCTGTAGGGGAAAAACAAAACACGGAGGTCCATTTCAAAGGCTTGTTGGTCATTTTCACACTGGGAGTCTTTCAGCGGGAGGTCAACACTGCCAGTTCTTTCTCTCTGTCTCTCGCCCTCCCTCTCCTTTCTTTTTGTTTTCCTGTATATGCGGTGTTATTTTTGAATGGAGTTTAGTCGAATGATACTTTAGCTGTGTGTGAATCAGTTTAAACATCCAGCCACTCACCGGACCAAATCTGAACGTGCAATAAGAACTCCTGTTGGTATAAAGTTGTTCAGGCCGAAATTTTAGTAGTGATACAGAATTAGATCCAGTTGGCACTGCCAGCAGAAGACATTCATACTGTATTCAGAATGCCACATGGTCTCTGTCATTCAGCTTGTGCGTTTTGGTACTGCAAATGGTTGCTGAGGTATGAAATCTTATGCAGTGCCCCTCGCAGCTTTACATGGTCTTCTGGTCTGGTTGGTTTTAATGCTTTAGTGAAGCACAGGTGTCATGTGGAGTCGGTGGAGATTCTGGAGCGTCACTTCAAACACTTTTAAAGGGAAATAAGATGGAGCCATTTCAAGAACAGATCTGGGTGACTTGTAGAAATCATTTGTTGCATTCAAAGACACAAGGATGAAATAAGACAATAATCACACTTCTTTTTTCTAACCATCAATCCATGCATCCATATTTCTTTCTTTCTTTCTTTCTTTCTTTCTTTCTTTCTTTCTTTCTTTCTTTCTTTCTTTCTTTCTTTCTTTCTTTCTTTCCTTTTTTCTTTGTTTACTTCCTTCTTTTTTGTAATTTTCTGCCCAACCGTCTCTTTCTGGCCCTCTGTCCATCCATCCATCCATCCATCCATCCATCCATCCATCCATCCATCCATCCATCCATCCATCCATCCATCCATCCATCCTCCTTTTCTACTTTTCATGTCTTCTTTCTTTCCATCCATTCTCTCTTCCTTTTCTTCAATCTTTCTTTCTATCTGTTTATGTATCGTTTGTTGTAATCTTCTGCCCAACCTTCTCTCTTTCTGATCTTCTTTCCATACATTCACTCATCCATCCTCCTTTTCTTCTTTCTTTTTATTTTCATGTTTTTTACTTCATTTTTTCATAGCTTTGTTCTTTCTTTCATGTCTTCCTACTTTTTTCCTTATTTCTTACTTCCATCCATACATCCATCTAAACATCATCCATCATCCATCCATCCATCCATCCATCCATCCATCCATCCATCCATCCATCCATCCATCCATCCATCCATCCATCCTCCTTTTCTACTTTCTTTCTACTTTCTGTCTATGCATCTTTTATTGTAAACTTCTGCTCAACCTTCTCTTTTTCAAACATCTTATCCATCCATCCATCCATCCATCCATCTATCCAACCCCCCATCAATCCATCCTTTTCTATTTTCTTTTTTCTTTCATGTCTTTTTCTTTCTTTCTTTACTTCATTCTTTTCTTCCATCTATCATCCATTCTCCTTTTCTTCAATTTTCTCTCTCTGTCTATGCATCTTTCAGTGTAATCTTCTGCCCAACCTTCTCTCTTTCAGGCCTTATTTCCATCCATCCAACCCTCCATCCACCCTCCTTCTCTATTTTCTTTCTTATTTTTTAATGTCTTTTGTCTTACATTTTTTTCTTTCATGTCTTTTTTCTTTATTTACTTCTTTGCTTCTTTATTGCATCCTCCTTTTCTTTCTTTCTTTCTTTCTTTCTTTCTTTCTTCCTTTCTTTCTTCCCACTCATGGAAGAGCTCCAGAAGGATAAAAGGAGGAGCAGCGATGGTGGAAGATGAGAGAGGAGTCAGGTGGGATTATTTATGGCTGCCACTTAATTTATGTTTGATTTGTGTTTTAAAAGTCTATTATCCATCTGTCAGTCCGTCTGCATTATTGAAAATATGACTGACTGAATGTACTTGAATAATAAACTCCATTCGAACCCTGTTGAAATATCTCAAATTTACCATGCTCATCTGGAAGGCAACAGCGTGCATTATCTAATCCTGGTTTCTGGCACCAGACAAAATATACTGTGATGCTCAGTTTCACAGCAATCCTGATTTTCCAGGCTAATACAGAAAACAGATTTCACTGTGATAGTCCGGTTGACAATTTTTGGAAAACTACAGTGCAATAAGGTTGCCTTATGTCAGGAGAAATAACGAAGTGAGCCAAAGTTCAAAACTGAACTGTTGAAATTATGGAAAAGGTTCAATTCTGGCACATTCCTGATACATACAGTGTTCACTCGATAAGATATAAACCCAATGAACCTGCACTGTGCTGTTGTTTAAGTCTCTGTGAAAGCATAGTAGGCTGATATATAACGATGCTCATCACATCTCTCTCTAAAAGATGAATGAATGAGAGAGAATCTTCAAAGTCAATGAGCGAAAGACTTCCTACCTTTGTATCCCAGCACAGCCACAGCTATGGTGAGCAGTGCACAAAGCACATACAGAAGTGCAATCGCCACCCTCAGGGCCCAGTCGTTTTTACATTTAGTGCATTCATTTCCTTCCTGGATACCTGCAACACAAATGAATATTGCATTAAAATATGCAAATGCGTTTCAGCATGATAAATGATAAATACACATTCTAAAACAACTCTGACAGGAAAACAGGAAATTACTTCCTTAACGGGACAGTTTACATGCCACTGAAAAGTCTTCATTAGTTCCCCTTCATGCTGTTAGAAACAATAACCTTTTTCTTTAGGACACAAAAGAAGATATTCTGAATGAAGTTGGGTTCAGTGTCATATTCAAGCATCAAATCAACTTTTCTTAATCCCCCATAATGTGCCGTTTTTATTAATTGATTCATTCATTTTTTACAACTTTTTACAGAAGGCACCCTCTGACATGTCATTTAAGTATAATAAATTACCAACCAAAAGACTAAAGAATGATTTAATGGCATATAAAACAATAACAGTGCAGCATAATAATTATGCTGGTCACTGGTTTGAGTCCCAGCTGGCCCAGTTGGTGTTTGGATGAACTAAAATGGTTGTAGTGTATAAGTGTGTGTGAATGAGTGTGTATGGTTGTTTTCCAGTACTGGTTTGCAGCTGTAAGGGCATCCGCTGCGTAAAGAATGTACCGGGATAGTTGGTGGTTCATTCCACTGTGGCGAGCTCTGAAATAGAGACTAATTATATAGATATTAATGAATGAATGAATCCTTTTAAATAGTATATTTTGCCATTATGTTTTAAACCACTAGGTTTTCTTCAAAGCCAATAGCCTAGTGGCAAAGTGTGTCGGCATATCACTGAGGCTGCACACATAATACTGAGGTGCTCACTGCGAACCGAATTCGGTTCCCTGCTCGAGGTCCTTTGCCAGTCCTTTTCCCTCTCTCTGCTCCCCATGTATTCCTGTCACATCTCTACTGTCCCATATAATAAAGATAAAAAGCCGTCGGCGCCAATAGCCTAGTGGTTAGTGCGTCGACACACGGCGCACCCGAGTTCGATTCCTGGCTTAAGGTGCTTTGCCAATCCTTCCCCTATCTCCTCTCCCCACACTTTCCTGTCTGTAAAATCTCCACTGTCCTATCCCAATAAAGGTGAAAACCCCTACAAATATTAAAAAAAAAAAAATTACAAACAAAAAGATAAAATGCCCCTAGAAAAAAAACACTAGGTATTCAGATTTGTCAGCAAGAGGTTTTAATTAATTTTAAATAACAAGATTTATAATGAGTTTCAACAATATTTTTACATTATGTTCACTGAAGTTATCTGAACCAATAATTAAATATGCTTTCCATCTACATAAAATCACTGGTAACACTTTACAATAAGCTTGTATTGGTTAATGTTATGCGGCACGGTGACTCAGTGGTTAGCACTGTCGCCTCACAGCAAGAAGGTTGCTGGTTCAATTCTTGGTTGGGTCAGTTGGCATTTCTGAGTGGATGTTTTCCCAGTGTTGGCGTGGGTTTTCTCCACAGTCCAAAGACATACGGTACAGGTGAATTGACTAAACTAAATAGGCTGTAGTTTATAAGTGTGTGAATGAGTGTGTATGGGTGTTTCCAGGTGCTGGTTTGCGTCTGGAATGGCATCCGCTGTGTGGAACATGGGCCAGAATAGTTGGCGGTTCATTCTACTGTGGTGACCTCTGCTAACCAGGGACTAAGCTGAAGCAAGGTAAATAAATAAAAATTGTTTACTAACAACATGAACAAGCAATGAACTATAGATTTAATAGAGTATTTGTTCATGTTAGTTAACTTTAGTTAATGAAAATACAGTTGTTCATTGTTAGTTCAAGTTAACTTGCAATAACTAATGTTAACAAGCATGAATTTGAATGTTAAATAATGCGATATTTATGCAATAACTGCTATACAAGTATTGTTCATCCGTAGTTCATGCTAGTACATACATTAACTAATGAACCTTATTGGAAAGTGTGACCAAATCACTTCATCATTTCATTTCCTCAGTGGACATCTCCTCTTCAGCCCATATAGAAAAAGACTTCACACTTGTGCGTTCCACAGTAGAAAGTCAATGATGACAGAATGTGTGTACTATCCCTTTTCCTTTTATTTTTTTCATTAGCTCCTTGATTTAATATTTCCTTCTTCTGATGTGGTAATAATGACCTCTGCTATGTAAAGTAATCCTCTACTTAACTACCCCCCGACCTAACATAACAAAACATCTGAAACACCGTCAGGAAATTCCTTCAAGACACAATCAAATTCCAAGGGACAAACAAATATTTCAGCGATTTCACGCAAAGCAGCTTTAGAGATCATAGTACTTCACCACATGATAGTGGACGCGAATAACTGCCCCGCTGTTTGTTTTTATGAGTCAAGCTGAAACTACACCATCAGAACTTTACCGCGGTGAAAGCACATGTGTCATGCTTGCCCTGAACAAGAATGACTGATCTGTGTCAATCTGTTTCTGATTACAATTGGTTTCCCTTTAGATCTAGACTAGAGCGATTTAATAGTGTCACACGAGGACAACAACAAAAGCATGACATTCAGCAGTGGACTTCTGTTGCATTTAAGTTGAGGCTCAGCTAATAAACATGTCCACTATCTCTCCAGACATTCCAGAACGAGGCTTACATTATCAGCCTATGGTCAGAGTGGCAGCCATGGCATCCAGGTCAGGCTGAAATGAAAGCCCCAGGAGAGAGCTGGGGGTGGGCAGGTCGCGGGGGAGCCTGTCTTTAGGCCCACACATCTGTGTAAACACCATGGCAGAACGCCTTAAAGGGCCCTCCGAGCAATGGCCCCGGATGTAGGGGGGGGGGTTTGGTGAGGTGGTCTGTGTGGGGGAGTTCAGGCCCCCACCATCTCAACTGCACTCAACTACAACCAAACCACACCATATAAACAAGCAACATCACCACCTCTGGCTGTGGGTCACTGGGGTGTGCAAAGGACAGAGGGGAAAAAAGAAAACAAGAAATGCATGGCTGGAGAGTGTTTATTGCTGTGTTTCTTTCACCTAATGAAAAGTCTTAACTAGAGATGGACAAATTGCTCCCGATTTACAGCACTGAAGCAAGATGAAGCAGACAGCTTTATTTTCCTTCTGCCCTTTTCACACATGCTTTCAGAATCAGGAGGGAAGAGCTAATTTCACAGAGGAAGTACAGATGTGCTTTTAGATAACAGGAATTCCAAGATGGGACACTTCAATGTGTGCAGTCGCACAACACATAGGGAAACCAGCAAGACTTTTCAGCTTACAACTCTACAGCTGGGAAGGAAAAACGGTTCTTATAAAAATACAGCTTTTGTTTTTCGACTTTTCCTCCGCTTTTAACACAACTTCACATTTTAATTAGTAGACTGCTGGAACAGTTTGACCTTGGTAATAACCTGATGGGCAGGATCCTTAACTTCTTAACTTATGCCGAGTTCAGACTGCATAATTTTCAAAGTAGTCGTGTCACAGATGTTTTCACACTGCATGACTATCTGTGCTAGCGTTGTGTCGCTGCTTTGTTTACACTGCAAGATGGTTCCACGACAGGGGGTTTCATGACTTTAGAATAGGAAGAATCGATGACAACTTTGTCCAAACTACGTCTCACAACCAAAAACACGTAGCATATCTTTTGTAATTAACTACATAATGAGAAATAAAACTTTAATGGGGTAGAAAATGTACATATTTGCATAATTTCTCCTCAACTATTTTCTTTTTTGACCCAGTTGTGATATTGTCCAGATGGCATGTCAAACAGACATGGGTGCTCCTGCCAAATTTCCACTAGTTTTCCTCAATTTCTCGGGTCCAAATAAATAAAAAATAAGCGCTTTTAATTTCTCCCACAACCCCCTGCTGGCCTGCAGATACCCACACTAGTGAATGCTGCTCTCTCCTTGGCTGTAGGTGATCGCCGATGTTATTGTCAGTCAAAACTCATTTCACATGGCATAATTTGAATCGCCGCTATCTCCAGATATTTAGTATGACAAATATCTTACAGGCATCAGCGACTCATTGGCGATTCTCTCAGATTGCGTTTCTGATAGTTCACATTGTGTGACTGTTACCCACGTGAAAGAGCACCAATTTGCCTGTGATTACAGGTATTTATTGGCGATTTCTCAAAACCTGTCAGCGAGACAAAATCGGGGCTAAAATCATGCAGTCTGAGCTTGGCATAATCGAACACAAAGTTTTAGAGTGAATGGATGCTTATCTGATAAAGCTTGCTCCTCAACCGGATCCCCACAAGGATGTGTTCTTTCACCTCTGTTATACATCCCTGATACAAATATGCGCCAGTGTAGGAGGGAAAATAGAACCATTATTAAATATGCAGATGACACTGTCATTGTCAGCCAACGTTGTGATAATGAAACAGCTCATGGTCCAGTACTTACGGATTTTGTCAGATGGTGTGAGGAGTCATGTCTTCTGCTTACACACAGGTGAACACTTCCAATAAAAATCAGACTGTCGAAAGTGTGCAATCATACATATACCTTGGCACAATTATTGACTCGAAACTCTCGTTTGATGAGAATTGTGAAGCAGTGTGTAAAAAAGGGCACCAGCAACTGTTCTGTTTGAGAAAGTTTAACTGTTTTCATATTGATAAACACATGATGATTTTATTTCACCATGATTTATTGAATCCAATTTATCTTTTACATAGGTGTCATGGTTTAGGAATTCTTCTTTTAAGAATAAAAACAATCTGGAGGCTGTGTAAACAAGGCAGCAAAAGAGAATTACAAATTCAGTTATAAGGGATGCAGCTCATCCCCTACACTCAAGAGTTTCATATCCTTCCTTTTTTAGTATCAGGCTGTAGAATTAAAGAACACAAAAATAGTTTCATACCACCAGCCATTAGACATTTAAATAGACCAAAGCAGAGGTATTTCTGTGACTTGCATATTTGACATTTTTTTAAATTGTTTTAAATATTTATTTGGGGGGTGGGCACTTGAAGCGATTATTTATTTACTTTTGTATATTTATGCTTTATGTCTTTATGTCCATTTGTTGTTGGCTCTAAGTGAGTTTTT